ATAAATCAACCAATCAATATGTCAATAACTTATCCTGTTGGAGGAGTTCATTATTACTATTGTTGAGATTCATTTACTATTAGGTGAGCACTTCCATTAAAATAGTATGTGGGTCCCTTAACCACTGCATGAAAAATCGGATAACCAATACACCAATAACTTATTCGGTTGGCGAAGTTCATTATTGCTATTGGCGGGCAAATCCCATCATCTCCATATCTCTTAAAACAATGCATTGTCTATCTATATGAAATGACTCCCGATTATGTTTAGCCTTTCTAAAATCACCTAGTGTAGACCACTCCGTTGGGGAGCTAACACTATTGATTTTAGATTGAGTGTATAACATTATTAATGCTCTAATGAAAAATAAAACATTAAATATGTTGTCATTATAATCTAGACTCTTTAAATCATGCGTAGGGCCTTATTTTTAAAGATCTAATTACAATGAACATTTAATATTTTTATTTTCATGAGACAACCATTCTTGTAATATTAAGACTCTTCAAATCATGCGTGGGGCCTTATTGTTAAAAATCTAATTACAATGGTTTTAATAACGAAGGCCATGGGGCAATGTATAAAAATCCCCGCTCCCACTCAATTTTTAATCATTCATAATTAGGGTTTTCATTTTATTCATTTACATGATATAATGCATGCAAAACGTCTTGATTTTAATCCAATTAAATTTAGAAAATATTTGGACTTTAAACGATTCACTAATATTTAACTTGAGGCACACTTCAAAAATAATTTATAAAAATAATTTTTCGTTTCCCAATAAGTGCCCTCTAATTAATTAGTAATCAAATCCAATTAATTTTCATAATTTAACTAATATAAATCAAGCCATTTAAATAAATATCATGGATCCAATGCATGAACAATAATAATTAGCAATTAATTATTTCATGCATCTCATACAACAATAAATGACAGATAAAGCAAATAAAATGGCCAATGGAATCAGCTTTTAACATTTAATTGCTCTAATCACTGCGCGAAGATCTTCCATCAGCTTGCAAACACCCACATAAGGTTGGTACGCACCAGGAGAAGCAAAACACGGCTTGGAACGCGACTGGAGGGCCCCACACGCGCTCACACGCGCCTGGGGCATGCTGCAGGTGAAGCCACGCGCCCCCACGCGCTGGCACGCGCCTGGGGCGCGTGGGACGCGCCCCCACGCGCTGGCACGCGCATGGGGCGCGTGGGACGCGCCTCCACGCGCCTGCACGCGCGTGGAGGCCATACACATTTGGCTGGCGCGTGCAATGCACGCGCCAGCAGATGTCACCTCCTGGCGCGTGTTCCTCACGCGCCAGGCTCACCCCAGATGCACTACACTTGATTCTAGCCTCCTCCGACGTCTCTTCTCGCCGCCGGTGATGCTCCGGCCACCGGAAAAACGCCGAAAAATCCAGAAAAATTAATAAAAATTTCCAGAAATTAAATTAGGCCTTAAAAAATTCCAGAAAAATTTCGAAAAATTGCTAAAAAATCCCAGAAAATTTCTGAAGCCTAATTTAACCCTCTTGGACCTTCTTGAAGCTTCATAGCATCCTTTGACGAAGATTACATGGCTTTAAAAATATTTACAATTTGAAATACAATGGAAAAAAATTAAATTACATCATTGAACTTTCAAACGGCTAAATCAAAGCCTTAATTACATTCATCCAAAGATAAAATTACATTAATTTAACCTATAAGCTTCATCCATGGCCCAACCATACATCATCATTCATTCACAATCATTCATACATCATTATGTATCAATATATATCAACATATTAAATCATACATCAACATACATCAATAAAAATATATATGAATATAATTTTGGATTCATGAATGATGATTTTCATAAAATCATGATCTCTAATAATGAATCAAACCATGCTCTGATACCACTGTTGGGAAACGTGCTAGTTTTAAAAACTTTTCGAGGGATTTAAATTCATAGATCTTGATTCATCACATAGAGACAAGTTTTATGCAAAAAATAAAATAAAATATGATGTATTATTCAACTAAAAGATTGAATACTTACATCAAGGTTTGAGTAAACCTCAGATCTCTCCTCTAAAGTGAATGTTATCACTTATTGTAGATCCCTTTTGCTAGACACCTTTTCCATGGATCTCCATCTTCTTGGTAATTCTTTTGCCTTTAGGAATCACTCATATGCCTCCATGAATGACCTTGGAAAACTAGGCTTGTGGGAGCCTCCATTAGATGTGAACATAAACCCTAATTTTCTAGAGAGAGAAAATTTATTCCTTTTTCCTTCTCATAAAAATCACCCCCTAAAATATACATAGACCATGTATATTTATAGGCAACATAAAAATAAAGAAAAGGAAACAACAAATCCTTCTCCATCTCTAATTCATATGTCTCAAATCTAATATGATTCCAATATCAAGTTGGGCTATGAGTGAGAATCCATTGGGCCTATTATTTTATTGGCTACAATGAATTAATAATTGGCCCGGTCCATGGGCCCAATTCAATTAATTCATAAATTAATTTCTACTCCACTAAAAGAAATTAATTGAACTCCAATTAAATAATAAATAAACTCTAAGTCAATATTGCACTTTGACCCCTCTATGCATAATTAGTTATCGGATAAATATAGCCATCAATCCGACTACTTAATTAATATATTTATTTTGGTACCTTTGATTATTTCTGGCTCGATCACAATAAAACATTTGTTTGACAAAAATAATAATTTAAATAAATAAATATATAATAAATCATTTTGTCTAAAAACACACGAAGGCCTTCGAATTTACTTTGTGATCAACCATAATCAATACAAAATAAATACAAGTAGCAATGATGCAAATATTGAAAATATAACCCTCTAACTATTAATTACATAACTACCCAAAGTGTCGGTCTAAGGATCCCGAAGAATCCGCCGAACAAATCAAAGTAATTATTAATTAATAAAAGAGTCTATACTTTTCTCATGCTTAAGAGTCAAATGCCATGACGGTAATAGGGAGTAATTGCATACGACGGTTCTCGCAATATATCTCAACCTAACGCGGATCCAGTTCAAGTCTTAATTAATTATGAGTCCATCCATAATTACCGACTATGAATAATTTATAATTACTATTTATATATCATGCATTGATTGTCATCACATACATATATATAAATATTTCTTGTAATTAACTGGACACTATCAATTTCATAGTGAATTGAAACATAATACATTGAATTCACCAATTATATAAATCATAAATATGTCAGATATGTCAGGAACATATGTCAATACAATCCAGATAGGAATTTGCTATGCCAGGGCATATAAATCCCAACAGTTCACTTGTCTCGGAAAAAAAATGAACACTTTATAAAAAAATTCTATACACTCACATATATATATATATATAATTGAATTAAGGTACAAAATCACAGTGTAATTCTCATTTTCATGACGAAACTATGTTACCAATACTTTTCTCCTATTTTCCTAATAGAGCGTCAATCAAAACCTTTATTTGTTATTATTAACTCGTAGACAATATTAGGATTCACAAAAAGTAAAGAGGCATTTATTTCACTTGTTAATTCAATATCTCTTTATCAATAACTCATTTATTTTCACTTAAATCCTGCAAATTTTCCTTGCTATTAGTTGATCTTTTTTATCCTTTACACGTAAGTATAAAAGTAATTATAAAATACAAATCTTGTCAAATTTGTTCTAATAAATATTTTTTTTCTCATAGCAACTATTTTTTTGGTAATTATTATGATTTTTTATAGTACAGGGGTATAAAAGTCATTTCCTAAAATCATTCATAAATTTTTTTTTTCCCTTCCTTGGCTGTTTGTTTCAGTAGGTAGTATTTGTAGGAAAAGATAAAATTCACAAACAACAAATGTGTAATTGGGTTGGAATGTTTTGTAATTAGCCGCAGCTCCAATGTCACCGGACTGAATCTTAGCCAATGTCAAAGGCTATTGCAGTTGTTGGTAGTTACTACAATTGGGTTGGAATGCTTTGTTTTTCCTTGTTGGGCCTGTCTTCACGGCGTTGTTCCAAACTTAGTCTTGGTTCCTTTTATTTGGGGCTAAGGCCTACTGTACATTCTTATTATCAATGAAAATTGAAAAAAAAAAAAAAATTGGGTGAAAATTTGAAGAAGCCAACCTTCGATTGGGGGCAAAACTCAAAAGCCAGTGTGTTCTAAGACGTATGGTATGCTTCAAAAATTGATATAACATCAGCCCCGTTGTTCCTCATCACCGTCTCGATATGTGGATAAGAATGCAAAGCGTAACACGTGCAGAGTCTTGCTCCACTAAATATCCACGTGTCGAACATTGGGCAAGTAGTCCCCACCATGACAGCTAAGCACTGGACACTTGTCGACACAGCCAACCTGTTTTTGCGTTCCCCCACAAAAAAAGCAGCAGACCTACTACAAGGTAGGTTGAGCCCACCACGCGGCCGCCTCGACTGAGGAAGAATGGGCCCCACCAGCCTAGGGAGTCGAGTGGTCCCCAGTATCGCACGAGCATGACCAACGAGTGGCCCATATTGCACCTATTCCCTGGGTCCACGGACCACCTCGTTCTTTTCCTTTGCCCTTCTTGACCCCGACCCCATCAGTAAACCATATATTACTGTACCACAAAATTACTAATATAATAAATGACGCAAAATATTCAATACAATTTATATTTTGACATCCATTCCGATTTCATTCCTAAATATTGTATTTTCAAGCATAAAACCCCTTTCTATAAAGGGAAAAAATTAAAGTACTTTTACTGTGAACTTGTACTTAAATAAAATCGTTTTTATCTATGCAAATATCTATACGAATGATCATTGAGTAAAATTTTACTAAATTCTCATTGCATTCAAAAAGAGAGTAAATATCACATAATTTCATTCTTAGTTAATGGATAAATAGGCAGCTTTCCACTCCCACCTAATTTACTTTATAAATTTTGATTACGGCAAGGCCAATCAATTTAAAAGGGCATGAACATGATACCAACTATTCCTAAAAATAGGCCAAACAGCATACTAATTAACAAAAAGAAAATGTGGGACAACACAAGCACAATGAATTTGTCATCTTCCAACCTTATCCAATTTATAAAGACAGAGAGAGAAAATGGGACATAAGATAGCAGAAAAAAAAAAAAAGACAAATCAAAAGACAACAATGCCTTTGAATCTCTAATAAACCAAGATAAAAAAGAAAAAGAAAAAATGTTAGTCTAAAACCCTAGCCTTTTGTCCATTTTCAAGGTTTTGAGGATGGTGGTTGGTCACTTGCAGAACTAACCATAAGTTGAAGCTCTTTCTTCTCATAAATCTGCAGAGAGAAATCCTTAAGCATTTGAGTAGTAGTAGTTGTAGAGCTTGAGCTTGGAGCCATAGTTGACACCTTCTCACTCTTCTCTCCGCTTCCACTGTTCGACACCGACCCTGCCGGAGCTTCTACTTCGCCGCCACCGCCAACGCCACCAACAAAATTGATCCCGGGTTGCATTGCCGATACAAAACTTGATATGGGTCTAGCCGATACATTAAAAGCAGGGGTCGCCGTGGCCGGAATTGCCCATAACTGTGGCTGATTCGAAGGTCCAGCACCGGCGGGAGGAATCATGAAAAATGCTCCGCCGGGGATGGCGTTCGGCGGAAGAACCCTCGCGCCACCGCCAACGGCCCACACCGGCACGAGACCTTGCGGCGTCACCGGCGCGACCGGCGCGAAATTGGAAGAGACCGAATCGTTTACGTCGTAGAAATCGCTGTTACACGCTCGCTTTCTCTTCTTCCTCGAGCTGTCTCCTTCCGATGTGGTCGTGGGTGTGGTCGGGATCTTTAGCGTCCCGTTGACAGACACGGCGATAGCGGGGACCGTCCCCGTACCAGTGGCTTCGATGATAGCGGGCTCGGCGTGCTCGAGGAGCCACCGGATGGTCTCGCCGTCGGACTTGTGGCCGAGCTCTCTGGTCAATTGGAAGATTCTGGCGGCACATGCCGCCGGCATGCGGACTCTCCGGCCACGGCCTTCCACCTTAGTGTGGCGGTCCTTCGACGCCCTCTTCGGTAGCGCAACCATCGATTTTTCAATTGACGGCGTTTGCATAGACATTGGAGTAACCCCAACAGGGATTGAGCCCTCCAAATCGGAGTCTGTGGGCTCTTCCTTCAGAGAGGGAACAACAGCCCCCGACGACGGAGGAACCGCCGGGATAGTAAATTCCGGTGGCTCCGCCGGTAACAGATCAGAAAACTTCTTGGTGGTATTGTTGTTGTCGTTGGTGGTAACCTCATGATCGTCTGGTTCAATACCTTGGTTGTCAATCGATGCCATATTCAACTAAATCGAACAAGACCCAGAAAAAAATTGATCAAAGGCCAGAAAATGTTGATCAAAACCCAGAAAGATTTGGCGAAACACAAATCAAGAAGGTCAGGGATTTTCAGAGATTATCAGCAGGACAAAGCTGGGTTAAACGCTGTCGTTTTCTGGTGGAAAATAGGGGGATTGTCGTTGTTTGTATAGGTTGACTCCCTCCAATCTCTGTTTCTACTGTGAAGGGATTGATTACAGAGAGTGTAGGGACATCGGAATTGAGATTTACGAATATTAAAAAGAGAGAGGAAACTAAAAACAACAAACCCTAGAAAGGGAGACCCACATCTTTTGAGATTCCCACAAATAGGGGGACCCTCAAGCCATATATATTATGTGAAGGAAAAGAAATCGACGGCTGAGAGGTCTCACGCACAACTCATGGGCCCACCAGATATCGACACGTGGTCGGGCTTCCGTGAATAACTGGGCCCCGTTTTAATTAGGTCAAAGCTGGCGATTGCTTCCAAATTTCCAATCACTAATTTCATTTCATGGGTTTAAGGTTTCTAATAAGAAAATAAGTACTCCGTTATAATGCTACTTTATTTTATTATTATTATTTTTTTTACAGAAGAAAGTGTCACATCAAAGTAAAATAAAAGAGAATAAGCTCATAATTTACGTTAAAAAAAAAAAAATTATTTTTATTATTATATTTAATAATATTTATAATATTATAATTTATAAAAAATAGTATTGTAATTTAAAACTTGCATAATTTAAAATAATATTTAATTTAAAAATCTGATCTTCCCTCATTTCTTTTGTCCATTTTTGACAAATAAAAATTTATAAAATAGAAAGGATGGATCATCTTTTATTTCCTTCTATCATCTCTACAGAACAAAAAAAATTTATTTGTTCTTTTCAATTTTCTCTCCGCAACTCTTCCTTCTTACTATTATAATATCACAAATTTTGAATGAATTCTTCCGGTCTTCCTGTTAAACATGCTTCCTTTTTAATAGGTTAACCGAGTACAACACCATCCATGGAGAAATTAAACATGCTTCTCAGGTAAATTTCATATCTAGGCTACCCAACCTTTGTCCACCTCTTCCACTTGTTGTCTCCTCCATTTTCAAATTGTAACAAGACGAGTGTCAAAGGTTGGGCAATGAAATAAAAGGATGATGATTAGGGTTTGGAGGTTGGGTAACAGTGATTTGGAAGATTTGTGGGAGAGATGACCCATTTCTCATATGAGTTATACCTGATTAATCCGTTAAAAATGGCTCTAATTCATTTTTTTCTTTTTCTTTTTTGTAATATTGTATAGTTTTAGGATAGTGTTGGCTTTTCTGGAGCCACTTAGTAATAAGCTCAAAATTATCAATATTTTTATTTTTATAGCTACTTCGTACTTTCCTATTATGCTACTACCTCCTTCTACGTATTTTTTATTTTCAATTGTAACACATCAAGAGAAATTAATGTTACTATTTTATCTTATTTTTATTTTCACTAGTAACAAACGTTTAATTTATCATTTTTTTTTTTTTTTTTATATTAATTCCAAACACACTGTTAGCAAACACACACACAAACAAAAATTTGAAACTAATAGCACTATTATAATATTATCGAACTTACTAAAAAGGGAAATTAAGTACTTTAAAGGGAAATTAAGTACTTTATTTTGTTCGAATTTTAAACTTAATAGTTGTATATTTAATATTAAAGATATCAGGTTCATACTTTTCAAAGGAACGTGAGTTCCAACTTCAGAATAAACATATGTGTAATTTTACCAACTAAAAAAAAAACTTGTATATTTAAGTTGAAATTGTAGTATTATAATTTATACACATATTAAACATATAATTGTTAAAAAAATTATATTGCCTCTAATTATTTTGGTATATAATTTTTTTTAAATAGTGTGCAATAATAGTAACATGACTGGATTGTAATTAACCTAACTATATATATGAGTTCTAAATAGTATCAACTAAACTATATTTTAATAATTGAAATAAAAATAAGATCTATTTTATAGATATGTGAAAAATGAAATGTTTAAATAAAAGATTTTAACAATTGAAGTCATCTCATGACTTTTCAATTTGATCCGATATTGGCTATTGGGATTTGAATATATATGATTGAAAAACAATACTAATAAACAGTATAATAATTATTATTGTAATAGTACTCCGTAGTATATAAAAACAAATAATATAAAAATACCACCGTATTTTTAAATTGAGTAAATGGCATGCAATGGCTCGTAGGAACTATTGACAAAGTAAGAATTCATATAGTAGCCCCTTTTGAAATGGGGTTATTGAATTTTTCTTCAACGAGGGAATGATTTCCTCAAAAAGGGTCATTTTAGACTTAATAATTCATAGATGCAACAATCTTAGATCCTTCAAGCAAGTCCATGCCCAAATAATCACATCCGGTGCCATTCTTGACGATTTAGTAGTAAGCAGAGTCTCCCAATTCTTGGGAAAATCTGTTGAATTTGTAGATTACGCTTTGGAATTCCTGAATCAAATCGATCCCTGTTCGAGGTCGTACCCATTTAATACTTTAATTTCTGGCTATGCCACTAGTAATTCGCCGAAGGTGGCATTTTTAGTTTACAAACGAATAATTGGAGATGGGTTTCTGCCCAATTTGTTTACTTTTCCTGTGGTTTTGAAATCTTGTGCTAAGTTTTCTGGCATTGAAGAAGGTAAGCAGATTCATGGTGTGGTTGTTAAGATGGGTTTTTCAAGTGATCTCTATGTTCAAAACTCTCTGCTTCATTTTTATAGCACTTGCGGTGAATGCCGTGTTGCCGGTGAGGTGTTTGATGATATGCTTGTGAGAGATGTGGTCACTTGGACTGGTTTGATATCTGGGTGTGTCAGGGCGGGTCGGTTGGAAGAGGCCGTAACGCTGTTTTTAAAAATGGATGTGGAGCCTAGTATAACAACCTTTGTTAGTGTGCTTGTAGCTTGTGGGCGACTTGGGTATTTGGTTATGGGGAAGTGTATTCATGGGTTGATTTTTAAGCATGGATTTGGAGCAAATTTGGTGGTAAGCAATGCTTTGTTGGATATGTATGTCAAGTGGGAGTGCTTGTGTGATGCAAAACAGCTCTTCCATGAGCTCCCAGAGAGAGATATCATTTCTTGGACTTGTTTGATAAGTGGATTGGTGCAATGTAAGTGTCCAAAGGAGTCGTTGCAATTGTTTAGTGACATGCAGATTTCAGGCATTCAACCTGATAAGGTGATACTTACTAGTGTGCTCTCAGCTTGTTCAAGTCTTGGGGCTCTCGACTGTGGGAGATGGGTCCATGAGTATATTGATCGTAGGGGCATCAAATGGGATATTCATATTGGAACTGCCATGGTTGATATGTATGCAAAATGTGGTTGCATAGAGATGGCACTGCAGACCTTCTATGAGATGTCTGGTAGGAATATCTCTGTTTGGAATGCCTTGTTGGGTGGTCTAGCAATGCATGGACATGGCCAAGAGGCACTCAAACATTTTGAGGAAATGATCAGAGTTGGGGTGAGGCTCAATGAGGTGACATTTCTTGCCATTTTGACAGCTTGTTGCCATTCTGGTTTGGTTGACCAAGGTCGTAGGCACTTCTATCAGATGAGTCAAGACTATAATCTCTCTCCAAGGTTAGAACATTATGGATGCATGGTTGATTTGCTTTGCAGGGCTGGCCTTTTGGAAGAAGCTCAGGATATCATCAGAGGTATGCCCATGCCACCCGATGTGCTCATATGGGGAGCTCTTCTTAGTTCTTTAAATGTCAATGGAAATGTGGAACTCGCCCAAGATATATTAGACCGCCTATATGAGCTTGGGTCACAGGATAGTGGAGTTTATGTCCTTCTCTCCAACATACATGCTACTAATGAAAGATGGGATGAAGTGAAAAGGTTGAGGAGATCGATGAAGGAGAAAGGTATGAGAAAGGTCCCCGGGTCAAGTGTTATAGAGGTGGATGGTAGAGCTCATGAGTTTCTAGTTGGAGATACTAACCACCCTCGAAGTGAGGATATTCACACACTGTTATATGTTCTTGCTACCCAAGTCCAACTTGAAGGGCATTTTTCTCACCAATTCTTATAAAAAAATGTATAATTTGTGGCAAAACTAAGGAACTTTTTGGTTGATTTTTTTTTCTTCTCACTATAATTATGTGACAACTTGTGTTATACCAATTCGTGATTTCTAAAAGTGTGCCTTCTTGATTTCTGTAAGTGTGCATCCTTCTTAATCAGTGGGACAATAGGTTTTACATATGCTACAAAAGAGATTTTCCACCTTTAAAGATCATGCCTCTGCTGGGTAGCATGTGGAATGGAAGAGGACAAACCTTTTTGGACAGTTAATCCAAGTCAGAAAGTGTTATTGGAACAACCAGCCTTATGATGAAACACTACTTTCACAGGACACGTACCATCAAAATCTGATTATTCATATGGTACATATTCAAGAGGAAGTATACAACATAACATAGTGTGTTCCAGACCATTTGAGATATTGAAGAGGAAATAATGAATGCTAATGTCAAGTAAGTTTGCTGGAACTTAGTTCAATTTAATTTTCTCAGTTTCAGTGTGTGAAAGATAATCTCAATTTGATTATAGAGTTCAGTTGCATGAAGAAGAAAAAGTATGGTAGAGGAAATTTGAAATTGTTACTGTAAGTTGTGGTACTAAATTGTGCCTGGCATTATCTCAGTTTCAGATTATGAAGACAAACATAAGTTCTGGACTTGAGATGACGTGAAGCCAAGTTCATTCAAGTATATAAGTAATGGCTACAGGAAGTGGAGGTCAGTACAGACATGTGAGTTATGCAATGGGCACCCAAAAATAAAACTCCATAACTCGGGTATATATCCTTAACCTTCTGAGTTTCTGGGTTTTCTCCGTTTGCTACTGTCAACGTTTCTGCTTACTTTTGATAAACGAATTTCTGCGTACTTTTGATAAACGAATGTCTTACCTGAAACATTATTGTACAAACGTTAATCAGTTCTGCTAATACCAAACCTTGTTGCAAGAAATGAGAGCATGGGCTTCTAATTCAAGCTCAAATACTTGTGATCAGAATTGCGCCACCTGTTACAGAATGTTCGTGTGCAATTTTTAAATGGTATTATTATTTTCGTTGCAATTTGTTTCTGATGAATTCATTTGAAATCAATCATAAACAGAAACAAGGGTGAATGGTCTAGGCAATAATAAAAAAAATTAATATATTAAAACACAAATAGTCCCCTTGAACTGATAGATTTAATTGAAAAAGAAGAGAAAGGAAATGAAAGGGAACTGAGAAAATAGGACAAAGTCGTCAAGCACCTATTTTGCTTTTCTATAAAAATATACAAGGAAATAGAGGAAAAGATACTGAAGTTAGTCATTATCTGTTTCATCCGTTTTTCCATCCAATAACAAGTGAATTTCATTTGATCTTTTCCTCCTTTTTACATAAAAACATCCTTTTTCTTTCTTCTATTCTTTATCTTTCTCAATTAACATGTGCTGTTACCACTGTCATTGCACAGGTGTAGGGAAGGGTTTTCACTTCCTTCCCTTGCTTTCTTTTCTCTTCCAATTAATGCTACCTTTCACTTACTCTCCATCCTAAATTCAAACTGCTATAATCAACCCATCCTAACTAAAACCTCATACTCTAAAGTTCACGAAGAGATTCTAAGTTTATTTCAATGCATCTATAATTTTCATTTGAGCAAGCTAATCCATTATGATAACTTAGGACTTGACCAAGCACAAGATGTTATTTGTGAAGTGAAGTATAGCCAACTCCCGATAGTTAAGAGTCATGGAAGATACAATAATCATTTAATGATAAACACACAAATATTTTTTCACTACATGTCTAATATAATGCATTCCCTTCTCTTTAGCAATAGTTAATAACATTTCCATAGACAATGTATGTATAATGTCTACTAATTCTATTCTAAGGAAAATATAAAACTAATAATATTTTTTCAATCTAATTATCACAAATTTTTATGTTGATGGGAAGTCACTCCTTTTATTGGGTAGGTTAAGAAGTTTTCGTTTTTGGTTGAGAATTTCACTGATTAAAACAGAACATATGTTGCAGTATTACTAAATTATTCAATGTATGTTTGAAAGAAATCGTTTGACTAGATAGTCGAAGCTGTACCATATAGAAAGAAATCCATTTAAGTCAGTAACTTTTTTTTGATAAGTAAATTTTATTGAAGAACCGCTCAAAAGTGGAGCGAGACCCAGGTACAAAAACAAGGCCAAGATGCCTCAAGCCTTCAAAGAGGCCAAGAAAACAACCAACTCCTCTACAGATCGAAAATCCCTCCCTGAAACCCAACAAAAAAGAGTGGAAAGAATAGAGAACTTAAGCATAGAGATAGGCTTTTCCCTTCCATTGAAGTATCTCCGATTTCTCTCAAGCCAAATACACCACCAAACACAAAGAGGCGTAGCCCTCCAAGCGTCCCGAATGAGAGCCCCCACTGAAAATCCTCTCCAAGCCTCAATCAAACCCTCTAGTAGAGCTAAGCATCACCCACGGGATCCCAAACAACCCAATCATCAAATCCCAAAAGCCCCTAGCCATGCTACAATGAAGCAGAAGGTGATCAACAGTCTCCTCATTACACAAAAACAAATAGCATCTATTAATCACCATTTAAGTCAGTAACTTAAATTAGTTTTCCCAACTACTACCCTAATTAATGACCCTTGTTTGGATTCAATTAATTAGCCTATGGTTTGGTGAGAGTTTTATATCTAACTACATGCATCAACTGTTCCTTCTAGTGGTATATCCCTTAAACTAATGCTTAATTCCAGGGTTCCTTAAATCCATATCCTAAGCGTGAAAAACCCCAAAGCAACTGAAGGTACTTGTATCTGACATTTTACCAACCCTAGAAAAAAATTCTCAAACACCATAGACTACATATGACCCCAGATAAGGAAAGTGCCTAAACTCTCTACCCTAACAGTTAAAACCTCGATCACAATACACAAAGTATAAGAAATCCTTTATTATGTTCTTCAACAGTTCAAATTTAACATGCTATATATATTTTTTTCATTTATCTGTTTATGCATTTCTCTCACTGGATATCAAACTGTTTACATATGTTATCTATATGTATGTGAGGAGTGTATAGTTGGTATATTACTATCATAAGTAACTGAAATAATTTAAGATTTTAATGATCCTTTATGAATTTTCAGATTAAAAAATAGAGTAAAAAATGTATATTAATTAATTGACATTGATTGTCTTAACCAATATTGCCCATAAGGCCACCGGCCCTATTGGCAAAAGGCAGTCAACTATATTTTAGATTTTTTTTTTTTGTTTAAATTTTTTTAATAGAAAATTTTAATAAAAAGAATTTGTAATCCTTATCCACCAAGAAGCATGAAATTGGAACTCTATAGGTTTAGACTCATCACAATCAGAATGAGGATGAGCTACTATAGTCTCACTAAAGAGAATTCGATAAGTCAGGGTTTTGCTGCCTTTCACCTCATCGGAGAGAGAGCATGGGGTTTCTTTTATGGCTCAACTATCTTTGAGTAGTAGGGTAACTAGGGTTCGAACACAAGTACACAATGCAGGATTCAGGTTATCACTGATGAATTCAGTCATACGCTGAGCAAGAATTTGGATTTTAATGCGGTTTGACTGTTGGATATTCACAACCTTTATAATTCTCTACAAAATATATAATAGATTATTTTTCTTATTACGTGAATGTAGGCGATTTTGTCAAACCACATTAAATCATGTATTTCTTGTGTGATTGTATCCATCAGTTGTGATTGCACCTTTATGTGAGTATTTTTTGCATGCATTTGTTAGTGCACAATAGTTTTACAGATTAAACTTTGCTTTTTATGGTATCAGAAATATTCTGTGAGGCAATAGGACTTGTAAAATTACGATGTGTTAGAAAAAGTAAAAATAGGATTGAAATAAGGTGATCCTCTACAAATGGGGCTCTGAAATGATGATTATATAATCTTAATCAGTTAGTTCTTCTGATTTATGCACTAAAGGACAATTGACTTTCCACACCACTGAACTAGAATTAAGATATGCACTAGGAGAAATAGGACAAAAGTTGGAAACAAACCCTATCATACTCGATATTCTAGTTAACATCGATGTGTATAGCTGTGATGACCCTGTGGGCGGGTGTGCCGTGGGCGGGTGCGAGAGACACTGTCAGGCTACCACACTGGCGAGCTACGGGTGCACAGTCCCACATCGCCTGGGTAGAGGAAAGGTGAAGTACTTATATGTAAGTGTGTCACCTCCAATTGGTATGAGGCCTTTTGGGGTGAAGCCTAAGAGCAAAACCGTGCGGGCTCAGGCGCAAAGCGGACAATATCATACCATGTGGTGGAGTGGGTCGTTACAAATGATATCAGAGCCTGACCCAGCCGGAAGTGTGCCGACGGGGACGTCGGGCCTCCAAGGGGGGTGGATTGTGATGACCCTGTGGGCGGGTGTGCCGTGGGCGGGTGCGAGAGACACTGTCAGGCTACCACACTGGCGAGCTACGGGTGCACAGTCCCACATCGCCTGGGTAGAGGAAAGGTGAAGTACTTATATGTAAGTGTGTCACTTCCAATTGGTATGAGGCCTTTTGGGGTGAAGCCTAAGAGCAAAACCGTGCGGGCTCAGGCCCAAAGCGGACAATATCATACCATGTGGTGGAGTGGGTCGTTACAAATGGTATCAGAGCCTGACCCAGCCGGAAGTGTGCCGACGGGGACGTCGGGCCTCCAAGGGGGGTGGATTGTGATGACCCTGTGGGCGGGTGTGCCGTGGGCGGGTGCGAGAGACACTGTCAGGCTACCACACTGGCGAGCTACGGGTGCACAGTCCCACATCGCCTGGGTAGAGGAAAGGTGAAGTACTTATATGTAAGTGTGTCACCTCCAATTGGTATGAGGCCTTTTGGGGTGAAGCCTAAGAGCAAAACCGTGCGGGCTCAGGCCTAAAGCGGACAATATCATACCATGTGGTGGAGTGGGTCGTTACAAATGGTATCAGAGCCTGACCCAGCCGGAAGTGTGCCGACGGGGACGTCGGGCCTCCAAGGGGGGTGGATTGTGATGACCCTGTGGGCGGGTGTGCCGTGGGCGGGTGCGAGAGACACTGTTAGGCTACCACACTGGCGAGCTACGGGTGCACAGTCCCACATCGCCTGGGTAGAGGAAAGGTGAAGTACTTATATGTAAGTGTGTCACCTCCAATTGGTATGAGGCCTTTTGGGGTGAAGCCTAAGAGCAAAACCGTGCGGGCTCAGGCCCAAAGCGGACAATCATACCATGTGGTGGAGTGGGTCGTTACAAATGGTATCAGAGCCTGACCCAGCCGGAAGTGTGCCGACGGGGACGTCGGGCCTCCAAGGGGGGTGGATTGTGATGACCCTGTGGGCGGGTGTGCCGTGGGCGGGTGCGAGAGACACTGTCAGGCTACCACACTGGCGAGCTACGGGTGCACAGTCCCACATCGCCTGGGTAGAGGAAAGGTGAAGTACTTATATGTAAGTGTGACATCTCCAATTGGTATGAGGCCTTTTGGGGTGAAGCCTAAGAGCAAAACCGTGCGGGCTCAGGCCCAAAGCGGACAATATCATACCATGTGGTGGAGTGGGTCGTTACAAATGGTATCAGAGCCTGACCCAGCCGGAAGTGTGCCGACGGGGACGTCGGGCCTCCAAGGGGGGTGGATTGTGATGACCCTGTGGGCGGGTGTGCCGTGGGCGGGTGCGAGAGACACTGTCAGGCTACCACACTGGCGAGCTACGGGTGCACAGTCCCACATCGCCTGGGTAGAGGAAAGGTGAAGTACTTATATGTAAGTGTGTCACCTCCAATTGGTATGAAGCCTTTTGGGGTGAAGCCTAAGAGCAAAACCGTGCGGGCTCAGGCCCAAAGCGGACAATATCATACCATGTGGTGGAGTGGGTCGTTACAAATGGTATCAGAGCCTGACCCAGTCGGAAGTGTGCCGACGGGGACGTCGGGTCTCCAAGGGGGGTGGATTGTGACGACTTTGTGGGCGGGTGTGCCGTGGGCGGGTGCGAGAGACACTGTCAGGCTACCACACTGGCGAGCTACGGGTGCACAGTCCCACATCGCCTGGGTAGAGGAAAGGTGAAGTGCTTATATGTAAGTGCATCATCTCCAATTGGTATGAGGCCTTTTGGGGTGAAGCCTAAGAGCAAAACTGTAACGACCCACTCCACCACATGGTATGATATTGTCCGCTTTGGGCCTGAGCCCGCACGGTTTTGCTCTTAGGCTTCACCCCAAAAGGCCTCATACCAATTGGAGGTGACACACTTACATATAAGTACTTCACCTTTCCTCTACCCAGGCGATGTGGGACTGTGCATCCGTAGCTCGCCAGTGTGGTAGCCTGACAGTGTCTCTCGCACCCGCCCACGGCACACCCGCCCACAGGGTCATCACAATCCACCCCCCTTGGAGGCCCGACGTCCCCGTCGGCACACTTCCGGCTGGGTCAGGCTCTGATACCTTTTGGGGTGAAGCCTAAGAGCAAAACCGTGCGGGCTCAGGCCCAAAGCGGACAATATCATACCATGTGGTGGAGGCTACCACATTGGCGAGCTACGGGTGCACAAGTCTCACATCGCCTAGGTAGAGGAAAGGTGAAGTGCTTATATGTAAGTGTGTCACCTCCAATTGGTATGAGGCCTTTTGGGGTGAAGCCTAAGAGCAAAACTGTAACGACCCACTCCACCACATGGTATGATATTGTCCGCTTTGGGCCTGAGCCCGCACGGTTTTGCTCTTAGGCTTCACCCCAAAAGGCCTCATACCAATTGGAGGTGACACACTTACATATAAGCACTTCACCTTTCCTCTACCTAGGCGATGTGAGACTTGTGCACCCGTAACTCGCCAATGTGGTAGCCTGTCAGTGTCTCTCGCACCCGCCCACGACACACCCGCCCACAAGGTCATCACAATCCACCCCCCTTGGAGGCCCGACGTCCCCGTCGGCACACTTCCGGCTGGGTCAGGCTCTGATACCATTTGTAACGACCCACTCCACCACATGGTATGATATTGTCCGCTTTGGGCTTGAGCCCGCACGGTTTTTGTAACGACCCACTCCACCACATGGTATGATATTGTCCGCTTTGGGCCTCAGCCCGCACGGTTTTGCTCTTAGGCTTCACCCCAAAAGGCCTCATACCAATTGGAGGTGACACACTTACATATAAGTACTTCACCTTTCCTCTACCCAGGCGATGTGGGACTGTGCACCCGTAGCTCGCCAGTGTGGTAAAAAAAATCAATGGCAACCATCCAAGAAGATAGGAAAGGTGAAGTACTTATATGTAAGTGTGTCACCTCCAATTGGTATGAGGCCTTTTGGGGTGAAGCCTAAGAGCAAAACCGTGCGGGCTCAGGCCCAAAGCGGACAATATCATACCATGTGGTGGAGTGGGTCGTTACAATAGCTTTCCTCTTTCTCGTTTCAGATGATGGAAGTCTTGGAAGGCCTTCATGAACTGTCAAGCTTTACTATCTCACTGTCAGCCTTATATATATGTGCTTTGGACAGGTAGAGTGATATATGGGAGGCCGTAGTTGGTATCATAAAGCATGCATTTCAACAATCTCTAAGGAAATTGAATCTTTATATGCAATGGGTGCAAATTTGACATTGTTAAACTAGTAAATCGGTTCTTCAGTAGACTTAAATACAAGAGTTTTTTTTCTCACTTTTCTGTTTTGTAGTTACAGAGAACATGGGTTTGGGGTTGTGGAGTTTTACCTCTGCTGCTCTACTGGGAATTAGCTTCTTTCACGGTTCTTGTTTCTCAGAGAAAGGTACTTTCATAAGCCTCTCTCTCTCTCTCTCTCTCTCTCGTGATAAATAAACTTTGATTCTTTAGTTGACTAAACATGCTAGAATCTGTTTTGATCAACTAGTAAGTCTATCATCTTTATCATTGAAAGAAAAATACGATTACATTGTATTTAGTGCAATTATATATATATATACTAATTGCATATATGTCCATCTGACTCTCTTACTGTGGTTCTAGCTCCATATTCCACATTCACTCGAGATGCAATATTTGCCCCATCAGTTGTATATTTCGACTATATTATTGTTGGTGGAGGAACTTCAGGGTGTGCATTAGCGGCCACTATCTCTCAAGGTACAAATGTTTTGGTGCTTGAAAGAGGTGGTTTGCCCTACGGAAATCCTAATATAAGCAACATAGGATCTTTCTCCGCCACTCTTTCAGACACCTCTCCATCATCACCTTCTCAACTGTTCATCTCCACAGACGGTATGTTTAATAGCTGAGCCCATGTTTTGGGTGGTGGCACTGCCATAAACGCTGGGTTCTACACTATGTGAACCGAGTTGGTTGGGACCCAAAACTGGTTGATGAGTCCTATGAATGGGTAGAAAAGAAGGTGGTGTTCAGGCCTCAGATCTCGGAGTGGCAATCAGCGGTGAGAGATGGGTTGGTTGAAGTTGGTGTGTTGCCATATAATGGATTTACATATGATCATCTTTATGGGACTAAAGTTGGTGGGACCATCTTCGATCAGGATGGTCATCGACACACCGCTGCTGATTTATTAGAACATGCTGACCCAAGAAGTATTACGGTTTTCTTGAATGAAACAGTGCACCAGATCTTGTTTAGGATGGAAGGAAAACATTATACCTGCCTGAAAAGTAGTGGTTGAAAGGGAAACCTTTACAGTCTGTTTGGCAATTTGGAATCTGTGACTTGAAATTGAAGTTGAAAGGAAAAATAGTTAAAATTTATACTGACATGGTTTTACTCCAGTTGCAAGATGTAGATTCTGTATTGTCAAACACAGCATAGAAGTTTTTCTTTAATTTGGGTTTCCCATTATATTTTATCGTAGAATTCCAAGTTTTCACGATTTATAACTTTTAAGTTAAGTCTATAATGAAGGGAGCCCCTCATTGTAGTTTTTTCCTACTTTTTGTTATGCTGCCAAATGCAGCATTCTAGAGTTACCCATTTATTGTGATTTGGAAGCTATAGCTTTACCTCAATGGCTCTTTGGCATTTTATCTGTTTTTATTTTTATTTATTATTATGTTTTAAATGAAAAAAAAAAAAAAATGTGACCATGGCTTCATGGACTAAAATCATTTTTTCTGAGTCATTCATAATTACTGTAAAACAAGCATACCCAACCAATAGTCATATAATTGTCGGATCACTTTCATTTTAGTAATTTTGTGTGGTACAGTAGAACCTGTCAAGTAATGTTGATATATTACTTTTGCAACAATCATCTGTTGTATTATTCTTGTAATTGGTGCCTTACAATTATTTCTTTATCATGTCAAAAGTAATTTTTATTAATGTATATCAATTTTTATGTTGATGCTGTAGGAAAATTGAGACCAAAGGCTTGTGGGGTGGTTTTTAGAGATGCAAAAGGAAGCAAGCACATAGCGTACTTGAATAAGCACTCCCTGAACAAGATCATCCTGTCAGCTGGTGCGATTGGAAGCCCACAGCTTTTGATGCTGAGTGGCATTGGGCCAGCAAAACACCTTTTGCCCATAAAATAAGGGTGATAATGGACCAGCCCATGGTTGGTCAAGGGATGGCAGATAATCCTTTGAACGTCATATTTATTCCTTCGCCTCGGCTGGTGGAAGTCTCCCTCATCCAAATTGTGGGCATTACCCGGTTTGACAGCTATTTTGAAACAGCTAGTGGGTCTCACTTTGGTTATGATTGGGCGCTTAGCATGGCTAGAGAATTTGGAATATTAGCGAATCAGGTTAGTTCTTGCTTCTTATTAACTGGCATATGTAGGTCTATGGATTGCTCCAGTTGAACTAAATTTTTTTGAGCCAGCACAAGTTTTACTTATGCTTGGCCAAGCTCAAACATTACAGTAGGTTGCTTTGGGTTTAATTAAAGATTTTAAAGTTAATCCTACTCCAAACATGGGCCAATACCATAAGCTGTATATAGACTTGTATTTCAATCTGTTTTGTGGTGATATTTTGGATAAAAGTTGTGTTTGCCAACCATGAGAGTATTGGAAACTGAATACCTATTTTGTGTAGATAATATAAAAAATTGATCATATTCAGTTGTCCTCCCAACATTGCATTGTGAGGTCTACACTATGTAATGGCCGTTTTTAACCCAGTTTAATATGCAACAAGTGAAAAACATGAACCCAAAAAATAGAAAAGATGATTTTCAATTGGAAAAGATGATAATATTCAGTTATCCTCCCAACATTTGGAAAAAAATTTGGTGTGAAAAGACGATTTTCAGTTTAGTTGTTGTCAAATTGAATTTATCTTAGAAGGATTCTTATGATAAAATGATCATAGTTTTACTCGAGGTTATCACCCAGCAGTACAAAAAAAAAAATTATATATTATTGCCAGGAAGGGAAGGTCAAAGGAAATAACTGAACAGAATGGTTGACACTTTGGCAGACTGGTGGCCAGGCCACCAAAGTGTATTCTGAGCAAAGAACCCCAGAAGCCAAAGCTAAAGCTGATGAAAACATGAGTCCTAATCTCATTGGAACTCTTCAAGCTGGATTCATCTTTGAAAAGGTTGCAGGCCCATTCTCATCTGGCTATCTCAAGCTCAGAACTAAAGATCCCAATGACAACCCCTACGTTACTTTCAACTACTTCAAGGAGCCCCAGGACCTGCAGCAGTGTGTCCAAGGCATGAGGACTGTTATCAACGTTGTAGAATCCAAGTCCTTCTCAAAGTTCCGCTCTGCTAAGTTGCCAGTGCAAGATCTTATTAACATGATGCTGACCTTTCGGGTGAACTTGCGACCAAGGCATGCCAATGCCTCATTTTTCTTGGAACAGTTCTGTATAGACACTGTCGTGACGCAATGGCATTATCATGGAAGCTGCCAAGGGTTGTCGATGGTGATTATATAGTTCTTGGAGTGGATGCATTACGTGTTATTGACATGTCCACCTTTTATTATTCCCCTGGAGCTAATCCCCAAGCAACTGTTATGATGCTTGGGAGGTAATCGATCATTGTTTTCATTGTCACTGTCATCATCATCTTCTGAATATTTTGATCTGAGAGTATTATCAATGGAATTTGTAATATGTTATCTCGTGATGCAGGTACATGGGACAAAAAATTCTGCAAGGAAGGAAATAGATGAGCTTCCGAACCTTTGTATTTCAAAAATAAATAATGTTATGCTTTTGCATGGTATGGATACTAGTATGTGAATAGACTAGGAGAGGTACTTGATGTTTTTGCTACTGCTTCAGTATGTAATCACATCTTTAAATAAAACAACATTAGTTTGAATTGCAATGCCATGCTCTATTCTGCATTCACTGGTGATTCCCGCGGCCGTCATTTTCTCATGGGAGTCTTGATTATCAACATATTTGATAATCTGAAAAATATTTTGTTTAATATATATATAGGTGTGTGTATATATAAATATATTTATTTATTTTTATGTCCTTCCTGGGATATTGGAATGGAGTTCAAATCTTTAATAAACCTGCAATTCAATGAACACAGGAGGTGAAATCAACAAGAACATATATATGAAACATGACAACCATGAGTGTTTTTTACAAAACATTCTATGTCATCTATGTACTGTATAAAACTGAGTTGGAAAGCAAAATATACACTTTTATTTCAGTTACCTTATCCATACATAATGCCTTTGAAGAGAGAATCAGGATACAAGACCATATATTAAGCTGAAGCAGTCACAGGGCAACTCTCCTTTGGCATGTCACCGGAATTTCGTCCCGGTGGCCCTATATATTTCACCACTGATCACCATAACATGCCAAGAGAAAGGAGCCCTACAACTGTTTCGCTTATCGAGCAGCTGCTTCCTCTTCCTTCAATGCATCTCAATTGCTTCAGAGTTTTGCAGGTGATCGATGTACAACTTATAAGCAGTTCGATGAGGTCTTGAGAGATGGAATAAACCAATGAAGCAATGGCATATGCCAAGTGATGTGCTATATGGAATCCTTCAATACCTACTTTAATGTATTTCTGGTCACTCCATGGATGGCTTCTTATCTTAAGCGTTTCCATGTCTTGAAAAAGTTTTTGAGAATATGAGATTCTTCTCCTCTCCTTGTCCATAGGCAATAATATGTGAAGTAGAAAAAAGCAGTTGAAAGGAGATGCTATCTAAGCTATGAAGTTGTCTGAATTCTTACTAAGATGGGTCTTGAAATGGCATATCCTTTGTCATATTCTTCTTCCTTTGCTTTATATGTTGGCTCTTGGGATTCTTTGCAAAGTCCAAGCAGGTGTGTTTTTTTTTTTTATTTTTTTTATTTTTTATATTTTTTAAAGCAAATGTATATTAGCTGCGTCGGGTATAAAAACAATTGGGAAGAACTTTTTTTTTTTTAAGTTAGTACTCACACACACGCTTCCCATGCTCTGATCTCACTTTGAAAAGTAAGGACCTGGTACTGTTAAGTCATTGACTATTAGTAGAACCAATTTTATAAAATGGTGTATTTCTATTGGTGGGGCATACCAATAACAAATCTAATTCAATCGTCAATATGTGTGTGTATATATATTCCATGTTCAATTCTAGCTCTCCACACTAATCACAGGCTAATTAGTGATTTGTAACTGCTGGAGCAACTTCGCAATCCAAATTAAAGTTGTATTGATTATTGAAACACATGACAACAACCAATGCAGTTGCGAAAACACTGTTCTACCGATTTATGCACAAAAAATATATAACATGTCCAAGGCAAAATTCAAGCATATATAACCCTCAATAACAATCGAATCACATTCTCCAATATAAAGGGTTGGACCATCATCACATTCTCATCTGCTTTCTCCCATTTTGAAACCTCTCACACATAATTCTTTGTCCCATGTACCTGCATGCATAACAAAATACACAACATAATATTTCATTTATTCCTATGATAATGACTTTTATGTCGAAGAGTTTGAACGCACAACATGGGGAGTCAAAGATGTAAGTTCAAACTCCTAGGCATAAATATCATTATTCTTATTTATTTCTATGATGACGACGACGATGATAACACCTAGAACTTACCTTCCTAGCATCATAACAGTGGCTTGAGGATTAGTTCCTGGGGAATTATAAAATGTGGATCCATCGATAACGCGTAATGCATCCACACCAAGAAGTTTATAATCATGATCAACAACCCTACCAACTTGGCACCCTCCATGGTAGTGCCATATGGTCATGACAGTGTCCATGCAGAACTGTTGCAGTGACACTGAAGCATTGAGATGCTTTCGTCGCAAGTTCACCGGAAAGGTCAGCATCATGTCGATGAGGGCTTGCACCGGCAGGGCTCTAAGGCGGAACTCCGAGAAAGACCTTGATTGTATGACATCAATAATGGTCCTCATGCCTTGGACACACCTCTGCAAGTCCCTGGGGTCTTTGAAGTAGTTAAAAGTAACCCTAGGGTTATCATTAGGGTTTCTGGTTCTGAGCTCGAGATAGCCGGACGACAAGGGTCCCATGATCTTCTCCAGGATAACTCCGGCATTAAAAGTTCCATTGAGGATAGAGCTTATGTATTCATGAGCTAGGGTTTTGGATTCTGTGGTTCTTTGCTCAGGAGGCACTGTGGGTGGTTCAGTGGTCTGCCAAAATGTGAACAATTTTGTATTGTTAGTTACTTTTTGTTTACTAATTAATTTGCTACACAGGTGAATTCAAATGGTCTACAAAAATGTGAACAATTTTGTATTGTTAGTTCCTTTTGTTTACTAATTAATTTGCTATATAGTGGAATTCAAATGGTCTAAGGTAATTTTTATCACCCAATTCCAAATGATTTTCTCAATTAGATGGGCATTTTCATTTTCTCAAGGAAAACTATACAAGATCACTTTTACGGTTTTATGTTTTAAAAAATAAAACTATTTTATAAATATCTCTTATAGTGATAGAATTCACTAAAATATATATATTTTTATTTACACATATCAACTGTTGTCTTTTGTATATGTGTAAGCTTTATTTATTGTGTTACCCAAGCAAAATTATTGAATTGCCCTTCATTAAAAAACTTTGATTCAACAAACTTTTTTTTAAAAATTTCACCATAAGGATGGATTGTAAAAGTGAATTATCAGTTTTTGCTATGGGTGATTATTCAATCAGGCTCAACCACATAAACCATAATAGAACTCAAACCTGCCCACAGTTTGAGATGGGTCAAACCTGAGTGGAACTAATGCTGCTTCAGTGTTTTATAGAAATGATATGGGCCAATTGATGGGCTAACACAAGTGGGTTAATGGAGAAAGTAAGAACTAACCTGAACCTTTGATGTTCCCATTAGTCGGGCCATACTCCGAGCCCAACTGTAACCAAAGTTGGACCCACTAGCCGTTTCAATGTAGCTGTCAAACCGGGTAATGCCCACAACTTGGACGAGAGAGACTTCAACGGGCCGAGGTGAAGGAATAAATAGGGCGTTCATTGGATTATCAGCCATCCCTTGACCAACCATTGGCTGGTTTACTAACACCCTGATTCCATGGGCCGAGAGTTGTTTTGTGGGCCCAATTCCACTCAACATCAAAAGCTGTGGGCTTCCAATTGCACCAGCTGACAATATGATCTCGTTCATTGAGCCCATATTCAAGTATGCTCTGTGCATGTTACCTTTTGCATCTGTAAATACCACACCATGAGCCTTTGGCCTCAATTTCCCTACATCACCATCAAAATGATTACTATCTTAGTATTATTAGTTACCGTTCGATCACACTAAAAAAAGATCCTAGCAAAAAAAAAACCATTGATCACTAAAATTGATATTATGAGGCATTAATTGCAAAGGAAAATGATATTTACACTTTGTGAAAGACTTGGTTATCCTTGAAAGCCACACTCAAATACCAAAATTATTATAGAAATGACTCTCGTACTACATTTATAGGAATAATTTTGTCATTTCATATGTTATAAATTTTAAGGAGAGTGTAACAAGAGAAAAGTGGAGTATCAAATTCATATCCCAAATTACAAGAGTGATACAAAATATGATCTACTTCCTTGCTAATTTCTTTAATCTCTTAACAACATACATACTCTTTCATCTTTGTATGATCTACGTCTTCTAATTGGACAAACTAGTCTACAATTTAATTAATTTTTCTCTAATTTTAATATATAAATTCCACATAAAAAAAAAAATTTATGATTTGGGGTTTTTCATTTCAAACACTCATTTTTGGGGTTTTTCTGTATAAACGTACACGTGGATATAAAATTAAATAATTGTCACACCCTTTGAAGTGCAGGTAAAAACCATACTTCTAACATTTATTTAATTTCCTAATTAAATCTTTCACATGCATTAAAAGACCTGCCCAGCTTTGGACTGATCAGCCCATGCATTTGTAGCACATAGATCAGCTGTTCTACTTGTACTAAGTATTACTCGTAACACACACACAAACACACACAACACATGCATGCATTAAATACAAGTTTAATACACAAAATTACCTTTCAAGAGTTTCATCCTAAATAAGATCCGTTGCACTGTTGCATTCAAGAAAACAGCAATCCTTGTTGGATCAGCATACTCTAGCAAATCAGCAGCAGTGTGTCGATGACCGTCCCGATCGAAGATGGTCCCACCAAATTTAGTCCCATACAGATGATCATACGTAAATCCATGATATGGCAACACCCCCACCTCAAGCAATCCATCTCTCACCGCCGATTGCCACTGCAACATCGGAGGCCGAAACACCACCTTCTTTTCCACCCATTCATAGGACTCATTCACCAGTTTTTGGTCCCACCCCACTTGGTGCACATAGCCGGTGCTAGCCCGGGTGTAGAAACCGGCGTTCAAGGCCGTGCCGCCACCCAACACCCGGGCTCGGCTGTTAATGACACCGTCCGTGGAGATGAAAAGTTGGGATGGTGAGGAAGGGGAGGTGTCCGAAAGACTGGCCACGAAAGAAGTAATGTTGTTTATGTTAGGGTTTCCATAGGGCAAACCACCTCTTTCGAGCACCAAGACGGTTGCGCCTTGAGACAGAGTGGCCGCTAATGCACAGCCGGAGGTTCCGCCGCCGATGATGATGTAGTCGTAGTGTATGAGTGGTGGAGCCAATGTTGCATCTCGAGCAAATGTGGAATATGGAGCTAGAGAGAGAGCACATAATTAATAAAGGGTGTAATTTTAGGACGATATTATTATTTAGAACGGAAATTCAAATCTAGAGATACATTTCAAAAGGGATATAATTTTCTCTATTAGTATTTTCGGTTAGACTTTTAAGTCTAAAAATCATTTTTTAACATTTATTCTCAACTAAAAAGTTATACACTAATTTTCCAAAAAGCAAGAAATGTTAAGTACATGGAAACTTTTAAAATGAACAAAATCTTTTTTTTTTTTTTTTTTTCATGAACAAATCTTAGTGTGGTAACTTGTAGCACCATTAAATGAAATGGATGCCCTAAATGTAATAAAAATAAATAAATTCTCTCTTATAATGCTAAAGGAGATAAAATTTACTATAAAGCTGATCAAAACCAATGCACAAGAGCTAATTTAGTAAACAAAGAAACAAAATTTATTGATCACAGAGAGAGAGAGGGGCATATGAAATTACCTTTTTCTGAGGAACATGAAGAAGTATTAAAGAAGAGAATTGCCAGTTGAGCTGCAAAAACATAACTCCACAACCCAAAATCCATGTTCACTCTAACTTCAATTTTCTGATCGAGTCTTGAGTCTTTGATTGCTTACAGAACCAATAATCAAACAATAACCTTTATATATATATATATATATATATATATATATATATGAATCCTAACTACGTCCCCAAAGGCACAAAGATTTCTTTGTAACACTTACTTGGAAAGACAGGTAGTTCTAGCTAAACAATATCAAAATTGCACACATTTCATTCATGGATCTCTTTAGAGAGTACTGTTGAACTGCTTGCTCTGTGATACCAACTAGGCCTTCTCTTGTACCCCTCTACCTGTCCAAATCACTTATATATAAACACACACATACACACACACAAGGTCAACAGTATATAGTTAATGCTTGACAATTAATGAAGCCATTCTCAGACTTCCATAGCCAGTCTGTAACAAGAAAGAGAGAGACTATATAAATGGACATTAAGTACAATGTCAAATGCAAATATGGTTTGTTTCAACTTTTGTCCTATTTTTCCTACTGCCTTAAATTTAAATTAATGGCATTGCCATCTTTTTACTGTTCCGTTTATATAGATATGCCCTAAGTCACACAATTATAGTCAATGGGTGTTACTCCTACACTCCAAACGAACATTTATGAGTTAAATCTAACTTTTGCCAATTGCAATGGTTCCATTGTCTTAAGGGCAGTAATCCCCAAGAAGTAATTAATGTGCATTAATACATATTATTTTTGTTATTTTCATTTAATGAGGGCAGTAATCTCTTGAAGACTCATCAACATCTAAATTATTTTAACTACTTCCGGAAGTAAAGTATGACGGTGTTGTCCTGATTGGTAGAGAGAGTTAGGCCTTAAGTGCCTCTCACCCTATCTTTGATCCTAGGTTTGATTCCCCTTTCCCGTGACTGTAATTGCAAAAAACTATTTACTGAAGCACGAAAAATTAGTTTAAATTTTTTTAATAGTATTAAAAGTAACAATTAATTCATTAATTTCGATTTAGATCTTCAACAAGAGCTATTATAAGTTTATAAGCAGGGCTGTTCTTGGTGAAAATTCATTAAATTATGGGTTAAATGCAAAAAAACTCTCCTAAACTATTGCCATATTGCAACTAACCCCCTGAACTATCATTTTATTCCAAAAAGAAGAAATGTTAAGTACATGAAAACTTTGAAAATGAACAAAATCTTAGTGTGGTAACTTTTGGCACCATTAAATGAAATGGATGCACTAAATGTAATAAAGATAAAGAAATTCTCTCTTATATTGCTAAAGGAGATAAAATTCACTATAAAGCTGATCAAAACCAATGCACACAAGTTAATTTAGTCAACAAAGAATCAAAATTTATTGATCACAGAGAGAGAGAGAGGGGCATATGAAATTACCTTTTTCTGAGGAACATGAAGAAGTATTAAAGAAGAGAATTACAAGAAGAGCTGCAAAAACATAACTCCACAACCAAAATCCATGTTCACTCTAACTTCAATTCTCTGAGACTTCAGTCTTTGATTGCTTACAGAACCAAAAATCAAACAATAACTTATATATATATATATCTATATATATATGAATCCTAACTACGTCCCCAAAGGCACAAAGATTTCTTTGTAACACTTACTTGGAAAGACAGGTAGTTCTAGCTAAACAATATCAAAATTGTACACATTTCATATAAAGACTATTCATGGATCTCTTTAGACACTGTTGAACTGCTTGCTCTGTGATACCAACTAGGCCTTCTCTTGTACCCCGGCCTCTACCTGTCCAAATCACTTGTATATAAACACACAATCAAACACACACACAAGGTCAACAGTATATAGTTAATGCTTGACAGTTAATTAAGCCATTTTCAGACTTCCATAGCCAGTCTGTTGCAAGAAAGAGAAAGAGTATATAAATGGACATTAAGTACAATGTCTGAATGTCAAATGCAGATATGGTTTGTTTCAACTTTTGTCCTATTTTTCCTACTGCCTTAAATTTAATTTAATGGCATTGCCATCTTTTTACTGCCCCATTTATAAAGGGTATGCCTCATCAACTCTAATTTTTTATATCGAATAGTTTTGGCATACATGTTGAATTTCTGGAGGAACTGTTACAACAAATGTTTCAATTTTATTTTTATTTTTATTTTTATTTTTGACTAAATAAGATCAATGAAAAATACAAATTTATGAGTTGAACTAACTTTTGCCAATTGTACTGGTTCCATTGTCTTAAGGGCAGTAATCCCCAAGATGTAATTAATGTGCATTAATACATATTATTTTTGTTATTTTCATTTAATAAGGGAAGTAATCTCTTAATTAAAGGAACATCAGCATCTAAATTTGTTCAACTACTTACAGAAGTAAGGTGTGGCAGTGTTGTCCTTAGTGGTAAAGAGTTAGGCCTTAAGTACTTTCAACCCTATATATAATCTTAAGTTTGAATCCCTTTTCCCCTAACCGTAATTGCAAAAAAACTATTTATTGAAGTGCAAAACATTATTTTTAAAATTTGTATAGTATTAAAAGGAACAATTAATGCATTAATTTTGATTTAGACTCTCTGAATCTTCAACAAGAGATATTATAGAAAATTCATTAAATTGTTGACTCAAAATAGAAACACTTCCAGAGTCGTTTGACATGGTTAGTTAATTTTGGGTAAAGTTCTAAAATTTTATTAATTAATTGAATGAAAATTTACTTAGAAATCTAAACACACTTATTAATAATGTCACATAAGTCATGGTAAAGGCTTAAAGGTTCTATTAGCACAAATTTTTTTTTTTTTTTTTCGTTTGGGTTCGACAATAGTAGTGTTGAGCTTTATAAAACCCTTCATAATCATATGCCCGTCAAACTTTGATCAATCAGCAAGGATCGCAGGCTCATAGGTCTGGTATTTCCAAAAAGGTCCATAATGGAATATCTGTTGAGTGTCTTATTTAGATTCAATTTGATCCAGTCCAGATACACACCTTATTTAAAATGGACCATCTTAAGGCATTTGAATTACATATGGGCCGCTCGTATGGTCCAAATATTACAAATATCAAGTCATAACAAATGTTGATCGAGTTGTGTCTTAATATTTCTCAAAAAATATAAATAAATAAATTGCTAATTGACAAAGCTAGAAGATTATTAAATTAATAACAGAGGTTTACAAGAAAGCCATCATTTCCTCAGACAAGTAATTAAATTCCGACAGTTGAGATATCCATTAATTGGTGTAATATATATATAATTCAGTATTGGTTGGCCAATTTATATGATAAAGTGGGATTTGGAGTTTACTTATTTTAATTGGTGACATTAATCAAATTAAACTCGAGTCCTTGACAGTTAACACATTATTTTCTGTCTTCAAATTAAAGTGAGGCGTGACTAACAGATATTCCCCAATATGAATTGTATATTTATTTATCTAATAGTAGAGTATTCGTATTATATATTGGTTAAAGCAATGTTAGAATTGCCTACATTGTCATAGTGACTAAGCCACTCTCACAATGTTCTCTATAGATGATGTGAATTGAACAACACTCTAGACATACTTACTATATGTATAGTATATACATATACATATACATATACATATATATATATATATATATGTATGTATATGTATACATACACACATATATATGCATTTACACAAATTTGTATAGACTGGAAATGATGGGTACGGCATGGGGAAGAAAAACGCAGAGTATATATATACCCACCTAAGCATGGTGGGTATGATGTCTAATAGAGAATGTGACATGCAACCATACCAAAGCCATAAGTCCACTTTATATATAATAGTTTCTTCTGGCATTGAAATTCATTGATATATATATATCCAATAAAATTCACATACTGGCCACTAATAAACTTGCTAATTTAGCTTGATATATAAATACAGTAAAGCAAACCATGAAACACCCACCTCATCATGAGCTAATCATAAATTCATAATACACTCTCTCTTCTTAGGCAAATTAACTTGGGCTTCCTAGTCATCTTCTCACGGCACCTTCGAATTACTAAATAATATATATATACACACTCCTATTATCTTTTTTAAATTGCTTCTAACATGTATAAAGAGATAATCGTATTAGTTAGTTGCAAAATCATTAGATGTTAGTTGAATATGTAAATATATATTTTTTTAAGGTAAAAATGTTAAATCAAAAGGCAGTGGGTGTAAAGGTTTGAAGTCGGGCTCCCATAGAGAATGAGAAGCAACTAAACCATTAGGCTACGATAACGTTCACAGTTGAATATGTATCTTAAACTTTTCAAATTTGACCATTTACGCATAAAAAATCACTCCTTAAAAGATGTTTTACATGCAACAACTTGGGATCACGGGACTAGTCAAATATTTAGGTCTTCATCCTCATTGGTGTACATCATCACTATGAGGACCTAAGTATAGTACCCCAAGCAGGAGTATTAATAAAGATATTAAATATTTTCTCCTCTAATTAAATTTTAAATAGTGATACTCACACCGAATACTAATTGTCTAACCTAATAGTTTTTTATTAATTATTTATGTTGTAGATGTTAAGTCTAAAAAGCGCACGTTTAAGTGAAGTTATGAATTGTAACTTTTAAAATTGCGTTAAGGTAGAGGTCCATATTTTTAGGTAACTAATTTTCTTTTAAATAATTTAATCCCTTCATATTTTTTATAAATAAAATTGTGTCCCTTCTACAAATAAATAGCAAACAATATGGACACTGTAACAAACTAAAATCCTAATTTATTTTGGGACTCTCCAACCTTCCAATCTCAGTTTATTTTGGGACTTTGAATTATATAATTGTTAGATGTTTAATTTTTAATAAATTATGATTTGTAATTTGTTTTTAAAATAACTATAATACATTTATATAATTATCTTAAATAACAAGTAATAAGATTATTAATTGTGGTTAGAGTGTTTAATTTTGTTTTATGAAATGTTGTCTATATTGCAAAATATTATATTATTAAATTTCATTATTAGATAGCATAGGACTTATAAAAATTTTTTATTAGATAACATATGAACAAATTTGCTTATTTTATTACTGAAAGATCCCAAATCAGATACAAATTAATCATTATTAAAATATATTTAACTCATTTATATGTTAGTACTCAATACAAATTCAATATCATAAACAAAATATGTAATTAAAAAAAGAAAAAAGAAAAAGAAAAAACCAATACGAGTTGATCTTTATAAATTATTAAACTCAATAAAATTTTATAATATTTAATATTAAGAAATTAGTATATGTTTAGTGTAAGAGTAATATAGTAAAATTAGTAATAAAGTGCTTTAAGCAACATTATTACCAAACAAATTTAAAAGTGCTTCAGGTATAAAAAGTGTTTTATATAATATGTCACCAAACGCTTAAGTATGTTTTACTGATAGCACTTTTATAACAGTTCTACCATTAAAAATACTTTTAATATTCTAACAGCAACCCAAAGTGGCTAATTAAATTTTGAGTAGTGATACTCAAACCGAATACTAATTGTCTAACCTAATAATTTTTGATTAATTATTTATACTAAATACAAGTAAGGGGAGAATTTCACTTTTTTATTTGTGGTATAAATAATCAATTAAAAAATGTAAGCTATTAACAATTTACTGCAAATAATTGGTGCAACAATCACCACAAGGGATCGGTGCAACAATTAATTTGACATGCTTGCACACAAAATTCAAAGTGAGATCACTCTTGGGATAGGTATTAATTTAAAATTCAAATCAAAATCATTGATATCAATATCAGTTATAATATTCGCGATCTATATAAATCCGTTAACCCAAAAATTGACCAAATTGAAAGTTGGTCAAAAGTAACTTTTGTAATGGTGGTCATCGCCTTTTGGTTGCAATGATCGTTAATAAAATGATGCTTAGGAGAAAAAAAAGAGAAAAATTGACCAAATTGAATTGCGTCTTTCAGTGGTTATTGAAGGCGATTGTATGCCGGTGATGAAGTTGCAAGCTTCAGTGGAAGCTCAGCTGGTGATTCTTAATGATGTGTTCTCTACTCTTTCAGAGTGTTTCGATTTTTTCCTTTCATGGATTTTTCGATGTGGTTCCCTGTAATGGTTTTGCTCACTTATTGAAGTAGAAGTCGATAGTGTCAATTTGGAGTGAAACATTTGGCTTCACTTATTTATTTTTTTTCTTTTTTTTTTTTAATTTTTTTTTTTTACGTAGTTTTGGTTTCTTTGGTGTCAAAAATAAATAAATAAAATAAAATAATGATTTGCCGTCTTTGAAAAGTATATTTTGATCTGATTTCTTTATAAAGCAATTTGATAACTTGACATGTGCATTATATATATATATATATATATATATATATATTGGTGCTGAAAACGCAATACATTGAAAGAGAGCTTGCTTGCAACAAGAAGCATAAAGTACATCCCATGGATAGAGAGGTACTTAACGTGTAGCCATTTCATACGCATTATATAAAAAATAAACTATATATATATATATATATATATAAACATATTTATTACTCGTGCTACACTTCGATTCCATCACCAATAAGGTTACAAATTAATACTTTCGGTTGACACAAAGTTCATGAAGTAATACTTCTCTTAACCGCCATAACAATATAACTTTAATATTTAACCTAGGAGACTTTCTTCCACATCAAGAACATGCCCAAAAAAAAAAAAATCAGTAATGGTCCCTCTGAAATTATAAAAAACACCATCTTGCCCATCTCCTACTTACATACCATATTGAAAATGTATGATACAATAATAAATAATTAAAAAAAACTTCCAACTTCCTATGGAATTTCATTCATGAAATTAATTATTACAAGCACCATCATGTTCATTTGCTCGATCTCCTCTTACACGTACAAGAAAAAGGAAAAAGTATGAACACCACACACATAACCTTTTAGTGTGGTACCAAAAAAAAAAAAAAAAAAAACTTTAGCTTAGTACAAGAATGTTTATATATATTTTTTTTGGACGAACATGTCACACTGTCACACGTTCGGAAGAGAGTTGACCACTCTACCAACTAACTACTTAAGAACGATGGAGTCACATATGTGTTTAGCCCACACAATGCAACACAAATGGTCAAGCATCTCCTTAAACAAACAGTAAAATCCAGGATTCTGAAAAAAAAAAAAAAAAAAAAAACATATTTTAACTACCTTGAATTTACAACTTCCTAGGCCAGGAAGGAGTGATCTTGATGACAAGTCCAGGGAAAACATCATCGGGGTCTTGAATATGAGGGTTCTGCTCCACAATAAAGGGGTCACCACACTTGTCACTGATTGTATGGAGGGTTTCGCCTTCTCCGACGACATATATCTCGTCGCAGGGCCGGTAATTGAGCTGGTTTCCTCTCACAATACTGCTTTCATTTTCCTCATCTCTGAAAGCAGAAGAAGAAGAGCCCAACAAGATGAGGGCTATTAGCACAATAGCACAGTACCACCAAGCTTCATCACCTATAGCCGCCATTAATACTTTCTTGGAGACACAGTTACTCTCAGTTTTGGGATTATAAGAAGCCATATATATATACTACTTCCAGAGAGAGAAACAGAGAGATGGGGTTTGATAATTTTGAGGAATTATGTTGTGTATCTATAATCTATATATATAGATAAAGAGTACACATGAGGAAAGGTGAGGGGGAAGAGGTGGGGAGAGAGAAAATAGGGAGGCAGGTGTGAGTGGGAAGTCTTTTGGCGTATTGTTGGGGGAAGTTGGGTTCAACGACACCAGGACGTGTTATTTGATGCGTTTCATGAATTAAACATTTCTTTTACTCTTCCATCAAACTGACTGATATAGACTTCTATCTTGCCCAATACCATTTTGGAAAATGTTGATCCAAAATTATTATTATTATTATTTGTAAGGTAAATTTTGAATACGTGTAAGAAATTAAGAATTTATAAATTACACATATTATTCAAATAGTATTTTTGTAATTAGTGAGAGTCAGACTCAGAACTAAAGCCACTTTTAAGAAAGAAAAATTATAATTTAATCTTTCATTAATTACACACTCTATATATTAAAACAATTAAAACATTGTACCATTAAACTAATGTTTTATTAGTTACACACGTCAATGTTAAATCAATTGAAACTAAAAAAATTTAGCTTTCTCTATCTAAAGTGAATGAAATGCTAAAACTTATCAACTTAATGCATAGAAGTGAATCTATTTTTAATTTTAATGGATGTATCAAAAAGTAGAACCAGAGAATTTTTTTTTTTTTTGACATTTTGGTCACCACAATAGACTTGAAGAAGGCTAGTCAGAGTCAAACAAACAAGCAATAGTATATTGTATAGGACTTATTCTTTCCCTAGTCGTTAGAATATTAGGTATTTGGTTTTAAAGAGGTCTACTTCACTTTCAATTTTTTATTTATTTAAATTTTTTTTTTGGTTTTCAACATTTAAGAGCTAATAGACTATTTACATTCTATCGAACTCAACCAATGGTGATGAAAATAGATAAAAACAATAATTTTTTAACTGAGACAATAATTTCAAAATGTTATGCACACACACAATTACTTTTTCTTATAGCTAACTAAATTCAACACAAAAAGGAGATGGAAATTATGTTAAGAACATATACATGACAGAATTTATAAGTATATGTTAAGTCACATAATTCTTCACAACGAGTGTTATTCTTACACTTCAAGCGTACTCTCGCTCTGACTCAAATTTTCACCATTTATTACTTAAATCTACTGTTCTCATGCTCTTGTTCTCGAATTCGCCGTCACTTTATGTGACTTAAAGTATATGTGCAAATTTATCACTTAGCTACTATTTCAACAATACTAAATATTACTAATTTATTGAAAATTTAAAGTATATGTGCAAATTTATCACTTAGCTACTATTTCAACAATACTAAATATTACTAATTTATTGAAAACCAAACAGACTCACTTTTACTTATTTAAGTAGAGCGTGTGTGACTCACTTTTACTTATTTAAGTAGAGCGTGTGTGTATTGAAAACCAAACAGACTCACTTTTACTTATTTAAGTAGAGCGTGTGCAGACTCACTTTTACTTATTTAAGTAGAGCGTGTGTGTGCACGCGCGCTTTTATTTATTTAAGTAGAGCGCGCGCCTATGTGTCCGAAAGAGAGAGAGGAATTAGCGTTTTTACTTTTTTTTAATTAGAAGTTTAAAACATTGAAAATAAATTAATATCACTCAGCTGTCAAAACATAATGAACAATGCGACTATACAGATAATTGTCTATTATATCATATTCTGGCGGGCTTCTATAATCTAATCCTAGTCACTTTCTAACCATAACTTCAAAATTGATTAAAATGATTTCCTCCCCAAATTGCACCATAAAATCTGGGTTTAATTATGATAATGATCACATTTAATTGAAATGTGATTGTTGTCATAGAAAGTCAATTTTGACTTAGTAAACAGCCACAAAGTAATGGCAGCTTGAAAAGCATCTTTCATGGCAAAATTACAGAATCAACAAAAATATCACAAATTACTAGTTCGGAAAAACAAATCCAACTACACTTAAAACCGTTAAATTCCGATGCTAAAAATAAAAAATAAAAAATAAAAAATAAAAAATAAAAAATTGAATACCAATATAGAATACACATAGAATACAGCAAATAACGGCAAGCACGTACTGTACAGAGGACTCCGCTGCTCTCTGCCACGCCTCTGTCCTCTGTCGCTTCACCGGTCTCAAAACTCTGTTCAATATCACGCGCCGGTTACACTCCCGCCTCCTCAACCCGCGCCCCTCGTCCTCTTCATCTGGATCGCGTGTCAACATGCTCCAACACTTCGCCATGTGCCAGACGATCATTCCCGCTGATCAGTCGCCGTTTCATTGATCCACCGCCACCGACCGTTCTTCCATTATAGATCCAATAATAAATTCCTAAGGGTGTTTTTGAAAGAGTAAAAGGATAAAATCAGCATTATATTAATTGGGGTGTGTTTTTGCACAAATTAAAAAAAAATATGAATATTTTTTGCACACATTTTTAAATAAGGAATAAAAATATTATAAAAGGTATATTTGAAGAATGTTTCTTGCACTTACCCCCAGAAATTAATATATTCATACCCGCAAGTGTGTTAACTTATTGCACAGTATGCATGATATCCAATATGGCTTCCTGGTGCAGACCATTTCCAAAAAAGAAAAATATATTCTTTTCTAGTATATATTCTTTTCAAATTATTATTATTATTATTATTATTATTATTATTATTATTTTGACATTTAAGAGCTAATATACTATTTATATTCTATCGAACTCAACCAATGGTGATGAAAATAGATAAAAACAGATAGTTTTTTAAGTGAGACAATAATTTCAAAATGTTATGCACACACACCATTACTTTTTCTTATAGCTAAATTCAATAAAAAGGAGATGGAAATTATGTTAAGAACATATACATGATACTATGATAGAATTTATAAGTGTATGTGCAAGTTTATCAACTTATCTAATATTTCAACAATACTAAATATTATTAATTTATTGAAAACCAAACTGACTCACTTTTACTTATTTAAGTAGGGCGTTTGTGTGTGTGTCCGTGAGAGATAGAGAGGAATTAGCGTTTTTACTTTTTATTAATTAGAAGTTTAAAACATTGAAAATAAATTAATATCACTCAGCTGTCAAAACATAATGACATATATACAGATAATTGTCTATTGTATTTCTGGCGGGCTTCCATAATCTAATCCTAGTCACTTTCTAACCATAACTTCAAAATTGATTAAAATGATTTCTTCCTCAAATTGCACCATAAAATCTAGGGTTTAATTATGATAATGATCACATTTAATTGAATTGTGATTTGTTGTCATCTCATAAGTGAAAATAACAATGTCCTCCCAATGTTATTATTAAATGTGTTAATTAAAAGGTTTTCCTGCAATCATAAGTGATTTAAAGAGTTGTTTGGTTTTCAATAAATTAGTAAACATAAATTTATTTCACCAAACTATAAAAAAAAAAACTTTTTCCTGAACACTAAAACAAAACAAGGTTTTTATATATATTTTTAACTAATTTTTTAATAATAATAAATTATTTTCAAAAAAACTGAATCAAACATATTTTAAATTTCCTTTTTTAAGAGTTTCTTTTCAAAACCTATTTCTTTGTGTCCTTCCAAACAGTGAAGAAGAGCCTTTAAGTAAAATCCATTGAGCAAATGAATGGGTTTATATTTGTCACTTGAATTCAAGGCTGGTGTTTGATGAAAAAAATATGATTTAGGTCCTTTCTCAAATGAAGAAGAGCCTTTTTCATGTGAGGATACAACCCCAATCATGAATTACTCTTTAATTCAATTTATTGACCAAATGTGACCTACAAAGTCTATTTTGTTAAAGCAATGTTGTGTCCCAAGTCTTTAAACGTATATTTCCTTCACAAGCACATGAAATATCAGTCATATATGTGTGTTTATGTATATATATAAGTAATACAAAAACATTACGGTCAATTTTGTTGAACCTTAACACACGTATTACGGTCAATTTTATTGGAGTGTATTATATATATATATATATATATATATATAACACACACACATATGAACCTATTTAGAAAAATAAATAAATAAATTGACACACACACACACACACATATATATAATTAAAATAACTATATGCAACATTTAAAAATAATAATAAAAAAAAATTCTACGAACATTTGCTTCATCATTGAAATGTGTAACGGTTGGAATTCTCAAGGTTCTCTATCTAAATATTACGAGTACTATTTTGAGATACCAAGTCTTAATTTAAGTAATATTTATGATTTGCAAATAATTGTAGTTCAGCACAAAGAATGCTTGTTAAAAAAATGGTTCCTCATTAAAAAAAAAAAAAAAAAATTAATAATAATAAAAGGAGAGAAATTAAGTGGACGGGAGAAAATGAGTATAACCACCATTGATGTTCCATGCAATTTAAAACTACTTTATGGAGAACACTTGTGACTGAAATTGGATATATTCTGGAACCATTACAAACTTACATATAGAGAGAGCATAGAGAACACTTGTGAAAAAAGAATCGACAACACTTGTGACTGGAATTGGATATATTCTGGAACCATTACAAACGAATTGGATATATTCTGGAACCATTACAAACTTACATACAGAGAGAAAAGAATACTACTATATTACGAGCATTGCATGGGTCACAAAGCTTCATTGACTGGTGATGTGCTTCTCTGGAACCTCAAAACTGGCACTCACTCATCTTTTCTCATTTTTTCCATGAACTTGTACATTGTCAAGAAACCCTGAAATTAAATAAAAAATTGTTAATGTATAGACAGCGCCACTCATCATGACTCATGAGGCAGCTGTTGTTTCAGCCAACCATTTCCATACTCTCACTTCACCCGCTCCATCTCCGGTAAAAAACAAACCCCCAGGGCCTATCCGTATGGATCGGACCTCCTGTTTCGCGAATATCTTGCCCCTCTCGGAAAACCTGCATCCAGTAAAAGAAATCTTCTTTTAGAATGAAGTAGAATGAACCACATGAAAGCATTTGAAGGGAAAAAGAAGAAATATCCGTGGAATTCCTACCAAGAAGATAAAATAATGATGACAAGTAGATGGCGTAAAAGCTTTTTGAAGGAAAAACAAAAAGGAATACTGTAAAATACTGAATAAAAGTGAGAACTTACGATGGCAAATCATATACATGGACAGAGTTATTGTTGCAAGAGCACAGCAAGACCGGCTTGGATTCTGAATCATGCATCCCACAGAGAGTGAGCACGCCCTGTAGCAGGCAGGTGGAACCATTAAAATGCAGGTTTTTTATTTCTTAGAACAGATATAAAGAAAATTAAACTAAACTCAAGAAACTGCAAAATATTGGTAAAAGGTTTTGACAGAATATAGCAGTCGCAATATGTTTTTTGCAACCTTCATTCGTATGGGACAAAGGCAAGGATATGATGATGACGACTATGTTAGCAACCAATTACATTTAAGGTGGTGGATTTCTGACTCAAAAGATGTCCTATATACTTTATAAAACAAGATAGTCTCAAAATTCCCAACCCCATCAGATGGGATACTCTGCCCACCACGTGAAAACTCTACCTACTCTGATACGTGACGAGTTATATTCAAAAATAGCGTCACAGCACAAATAGCAATGCCCCTGTCAATCCTACCCCATAGGAGTATTACCATTGAGTCTGCAAATGGTTCAAACAGAAACAGATGAAGTACCAACAACCTTTTCCTACCACTACAGGGTGGTATGAGCAACACATATGACACGCCTACTTTCCCAAAGAACTGGGTTACTCAAACTCAAACGCTGGCATTTAAAGAGTAAGGTTCTTCCACTGGTCCACCTAGTAAGGTAATTTAGCAGGATTCAGACTGGTTATTTGATACATCTATCGATCTGTCAAAAAATACAGACACTTCCCCTTCAATTTTAATCAGGTCCCGAGGCTAAACAATATGAGACTATACGCAAGAGCACATATACCCATGCAATGATTATTTATTTCCCAGCACAGTAGTAGGAAACCAGCTTCAAGATTGATAATTCTCACTTCCAAACAAAAAGCAGTCTCCACCAGCTATAATCACAAGAGATCATTAACCAGAACAAAGATCTAACTCTACATATCACCGATCCTTCTCTATCTTTTGAGAACAGAATAGCCATACTTTAACATGTGTGCATCAAGTTAAACATAACCCCTTAATACAACAGCACAACAGCGCCTGTAAACAATACGATGTTAAATAGACTCAACATTACTATTAAAATATTTTTTAACATGCTTGCACCAGTGATTTTAGATGAATCATCCAAAATTGTGCAAGGGCCAAAAACAAATCATCAAGAAGTAGCCTACGATTTCCCAACCTTAGAGATGATCTCTGCTTTTGCTTGATTAATGCACCTAATGGGCCCTTGATAATCAATTCATGTAACAATATTTTAACTTACAAATATTAGTTTAAAAATAATTTTAACACCATTTGGAGTAGAATTTAGAATACCACCATTTAAAAGGATCTGGCATTTAGACCAGAAAACTGCTTGTGCAATGGAATTTCTAATATTTTTACAAACCTATAACACAATCTTGGCCCTTGCCCTTTCCTAAGCAACCCAAAATGTGTAAATACCTGATCAAGCACACAACACGAGTGTAAATAAAAGATGTGTCTGACATGCCTATTGCATATGTCCATCCTTTATAATATTATAATTTATATCAGAAAATGATGGTGAAATTCCTTGTGCGCTAAAGGCTCCCTCAGATACTATCACCCTGCGCTGCTACAAAATGAATGAATTTCACGACAAAGATGCTTTTGTTATATAACATAACACTTCTTCCTTACTGTACAGATGAAAATTTAACTACTTCAACAACAAAGCCGTTTCCCAATGTCCAAATGTTATAAAAACCCCTAAAATATACATGCTAAAAGACTTGTATATTTTAGCTGGTTTTATAACATTTTAAAATTTGGACATTGGGAAACAGCTAAGTTCTCGAAGTAGTTAAATTTTCATCTGTACAGTAAGGAAGAAATGTTATGCTATATGAGGAAAACAGCCTAAACAGGTCCTTGCTGCTGGTTTATCCGATGAAAAGAGAGTATCCAAGGAGAAGAGGTAACTTGCTAGTATATGCCAGCACCAAGGTTAGCTGAGGAGAATATGACATTGCAATTATGATTGCATGTTCAGCAATGGGGACCCATTGGAGATTACTGGAGATAACTACCTGTAAAAAGGCTTTGTGAGCTGCTCATGGCTCGTGAAAACCCTTCACTTTTTAACAACCCCAGAACCAATTACAAGCTTTTGAAGAGGTTATTTAGTTAAAACATTAGTCACCATAAACTGAATACAAACAAGTCACGAAATTGTCAAAAGATAGGGCAAGACAGCTCAGGAGGACTAGAAAGTTGCCACACAAGCAAACAAGCTTACGAATACTAAATAACTATTAAGGGCCCTTGAGGATACTCCCCTTATACCATACCTTCACCGATACCTAAGGTTGAAGCATATGTAAAAATTAGAAGTCGCTTGGTATTGCATAAGCTGCAACATCAGACGCAAGGTAAGGACAAAGTTATCTTCTTGAATGCCACATGTAGTTTGGAATCAGGAACCCACAATAGTCCATCTTAAAATTTCTATGTTTTAGTGAGGCAAGCACTTGCACGCCTAGGTGAAATGTACAATTTTTCAGAACTAACCATCCCCTGAATGAGGGATAAAGTAACCCTAATTTATCAAAGTTAATACATTTACAATCAATTCAGATAATACATTCTGAAAATCTTAAAACACTTGTAAACTTTTTCAAAGTGGATCTTTATTAAGATATCCAAAAGAGGAAAGACAGACCAGTCTTCTTCTTTTCTTTTCTTTTCTTTTTTTTTTTTTTTTTGATAAGTAACACAGACCAATCTTTCAGGACAGGAGTTTATTACAAAAAGTAAAAAGAACAGTAAAAATTCGCTAATCCTTGAAAGTTGAAACAAACCAGTCAACAAAGGCTCAGTAACATGTCTCTTTACGCTAAATTGTTAATAAACTACTTTTTTTTATTTATTACAGTGATATCTGATTCCCTAAGATCAACATATAACCACCAATCCAAATACACCTGGTGAAGTGAAGGTCAAGCTTCTCCAAGCTCAAAACCCAATCTCTGAGAGGGAGGAAGGGATTTTGCTTTAGGTCGAGTAGTGAATCCGGGTAAATGCAAGACTATGTGGGCCCAAATAACACTCTGGTCGATATTTAAAACTATCAAAATCATACTTTTAAAGCATATTTTTGCAATTTCAGGCAAGAAACACTAAAACCACGAGCTATTGGGCTCAAAAGCCAAACCTGAGAAGAAGGCAACAAAATTATTTGAATTAAAAGTTCTCTCTTCCAAAAAATCTCCTTTAAAGGAAACTTGACAACCTCACGTATAAGTCTATAAGATACTAAGGAGGTACCCCATAGTGAAGCACTTCAAGTAACCTACAACCAGTCAAAAAGTAGCTAACAAGCAGCCACATCAATGACGAAAAGTCATAAAAGAATATATTCTATCCTAAATCTAATTTAACAAAGAACTAATGTACTCCTAAAATTTAATATAAAAATACATCGTAAGCTAAAACACATCAGGCCATTAAAAACACGTTTTTCTTCAAAACTCAATGAACCATCAGCTATTGCACCCAAAATACTTCCTTGATCTTATACATTGGATTTCATTACCAGGAACTAATGACATCTTCAGCTTCCTCAAGTTACCACTAACTTATGCAAAGATTTTTAGCAAAAAATACGGACTCTTCTTAAATCAATATCATCATCAATGTTAGAAGTCTCACATATCATTATCATCCTTGACTTATTCCCATATGAATGTGGTCAGCCAGAAGTCTCACATATAAAGGGATGAAATGCTAGCTGAGGATTTTTCAGATTAAGTGGGCATGTTAATGTATTAAAATGAAACACGTACAAGTGCATATATAAAATTAGGAGATATTTTACGTAGAAACTTACATGTTCCTCATTATGGGTGTATGTAACTTCCAACTTTCCACTCTGAGAAGTAAACCACACCTGGAAGCAGGACAAAGTAAAGAGGACATTTGAATGAATAAGTTGAGAGGTGGGTGCAAGGACAATATTAGTAATAAAAAGAAACACCAACCTTTATTGTTTTGTCCAATGAACATGATAGAAGAAACTGATCCCAGCATAGAACAGACATTACAACTGAAGTATGCTCGGTCAAAGTCTGGATGCATTGCAAAGTTTCAAGGCTCCATACCTGGAAGCAGGATAAGCAGATACACAAAAGGTAATAAATTAAAAACCTCAAGCAATGATTATGGAAGCAAAAGTAATTTGAAAATTCTTGCCAATAAATCATAGATAATCACAGCAGTATCCCACCACAACCAACTTACTCTTATAGAATGATCCATTGAACCGGAGTATAGCCTATTAGCACCAACAACTAGTGTCACAACAGCAAGAGTGTGACCCTTGAAGGATGCAGCTGGTTCAAAGCAGTTGGCAGCAGCATTAAATTTCCACGCCAATATGGTCCCATCCTGCATCAGAAGTTTACTTCTTTCAAGAAAAGAAAAATATGCCAATATCGAAGAGAGAGGGAACAAAACTAAATATAAATATGCAAGGCATTTTATTTAGTAGGACTCAAGTTGAACAAAGCCATGGCCATAGCTATAACTCCACCAAAAGCTAAGGGAATTCCAGATCACCATGATATTAGGAGAAGAAATAAAAAGTCTAAAGCCCTAACCAACCAAAATATGGCACAGTGAGTATTGAACATTTTCTATGACAACTCATCCATGTTAAAATGCTAAATTGCATAATTTACAAGGAGAAGCTCCTTAGGAACAGTGTGACAGCCACTGCGGAAATATTCTTACATGGTAATTAAGAAAAATAACAATAATAATAAAAGTATATAGATACAGTTAACAAGAGAAGAACTATATAATTCATAACCAAAAGCTTACCTGTGAACCTGCAAAGAGCATATCATTGCCCACAACCAGGGTATAGACTTGTCCAACAGGTCCATTAAGACTCAAATCAGTGGCGGTTTGGGTATTCCATGCCTGCAATATCACCATAATAAGTCCAACGACCAGTTTGCATCATACTCATACAACTAAGAAACCTAGAAAGAACCAATAACAATGAAATACTTAACTAAAATAAGACATAAAAGGATGGAAATTAAGACTCGCCCCTTACCTTGACAACATTTGGTAGACCCACAAATATCCATGGCCCTTCACTGAGCATGCAACCTATTTCACTGCCCAAATTAATCACGCTAGTACACTGCATAAAACATAGACAACAACAATACATGAATAAATTCCAGCACCCTCCATTCAGTAGCTGAGAAAAATAAAATAAAATACAATCCATATCAGAGGTGGCATGTTGCTTTGATTTCTCAATTCTTTTTAGTTTTAAAAGCTTCTTTGGGCCTGCTTGGTTAGTCACTCAGAAAACTGTTCTCAAAATCTCAAAAAACTGAAAACTGTTTTCAGAGAACTATATGATTACAGATCTTTTTCTAACTAATGACCTGCTTGGTTTGTCACTAAGAAAATACTTCTTAAGAACTCAGAAAATAGAAAACTGTTTTCAGAGAATTATAAATGATAGTTCTATGAAAATTGGCCTTCTTTTAATTGAGTTTTCAGACACCGGTTCTCAGAAACTGTAAATCAAACAGGTTTTTTTTACAGTTTTCTGATTTTCAGTTATCAAAAAACAAAAAACCGTTCAAATTGAACCAAGCAGGCCCAAAGTTTTCAGAAAAAGATTCTCAGAAGTTGTCAACCAAACAGGTTTTGTACAGTTTTCTGATTTTCAGTTCTCCGTTCTCACTTTTTCCTTTTTTTAATCTTTTGATTCGAATTACATGTCATGATAGTGCATCTAAACAGTCCTAAACAAATTAGCAATGTTAGTAGAATACACAGTGGGGGTTCTGACACCATAAATCCCAATAAAAAAAATCTAAATTTGAAACTTTTTTTCTCCTTTCCATCTCCAATGTATTCTCAGAATCAAAGAGCATCAAATTATTAAAGAAGAAAAGAAAAACTAATTTAATGAATAACCACAAAAAATGAAGAAAATACCAACCTGCCCAGACTGGCAATCCCAAACCCTCACAGTTTCATCCTTACTCCCTGTATAAAGCTTATCAGACCCAGATGGCAAAGTAATCCCGCTAACTACCTGTTTACCAAAAAAAGAAGAAAAACAAAAATAGATAATTAACTCAAGTATCCCTCAAATACAAAGACCAAAGAAACCAAATATAGAAAAATCATTTATCTATCTTTAGAAAAACTGAACCACCAAATACTGAAAAATCATTTATCTATCTTTAGAAACATTGAACATTGTTAACATCAAGAACATTAATTAAACAATGACCCAATAGTTCAACCAACACAATGCCAAGAAAGGGATCAACTTAAACAAATATAAAAGAACTGGATTGACAAATATGTGTAATGCGTGTGTGTAATTATCACTACCTTCTGGTGTCCTTCAAGCTGTGTCAACAACGAAAGACAATCTCCTGTGGACCAAGGATGCAAAAACCTGCACTTATCCCCAAAATTACAACTCCCCTGCACCCAATAATTACACAATTTCTCTGTTTTCTTCACAACTCTGTCCCCTCCTGCTCGCCCCCAAGTCGAAGAATTGCTGAAATTAGGATTCCTTCGGCTTGTCAAATGTTGGTCATCCGCGAACCCGTGAGGCGGCTTCGACTTGGCCGCGCCGTCGCCGCCAATGGACTGCGGTGGCGGTAATTCTCTGTGCAAGTAAGGACATGAGAATCTATAGCAATTGCCTGCCCTCCAATTGAAACAGACCTTTCGATGGTATACCCGCTTGTTTTTTTCAACATCCATAGTCGATTCTTGGTTTCTTGGATTGAGATAGTGGTAAGGAGAGTCCAAACCAGTTTGTGTCAGTGATTGAAACGGTCGGTGATCTGATTTGATCATTACAGGAAGCAATTTAAATCAACGGCTGATTAAGGTCTAAGACGCTCGAGATTGGAGAGTTAGGATCTGTAATGCTTCAATAAGGCGATTTAGAGAGAGAAAGAGCCCAAGAGGTATATACATGTATGTATGTATAGTGGAGAGAGACAGACAGACAGACAGACAGACAGTCGGTGAGTGAAGTTGGCCAGTAATTTCTTGCGAGGTTTTATTGAAGAATGGAATCAGAAACTCATATTTTTGTTGCAATGGCTACGGTGAAGAAGGAGACAGTGAAGAAGGAAATAACAGAAAGCGTAAAGTGTAAGCTGTGCTTTATAAGTAATACAGAAAGCGTACGCTTTACGCGTACTTGACAAGTATATACTTTTTGGAACCCAATATTACGTATTTATGTTTATTTTTAGATTTTTTTTATTAGAAAACACAGCTGTCAAAAAAAAATCAAGCACAGAAAAAAAAAAAAAAGAAAAGAAAAAAAAAAAAAGAGAGAGAGAGATAATAATAAAATAAAATAAAATAAAAAAACATCAATCTTCTTCCCATAATATTTTTTGAAATTTTTTCTCAAAGAGGTTTTTTTTTTTTTTTTTTTTTTTTTTTTTAATAAAAAATATATATATATATTTGGTTAAACAAATAACAACAATAAAAAATTAAATTTCACTGTTCTGCTTTCGAGGAAAAATTATTTTTGAGAACAGTGAACAAAAAGATTTCCAATCTGTTTATTGCTTTAAAATCCATAAAAGCTATTATTACACTGTGAAAACTCAAAACTGATAGTGATTAGCTGATGATAGTCATCAAAAATGATCACTAAATCACTATCACCCCCTTATTTTATATTTACCATAACTATTCTTTATACTGTAACTTCTTTTTCTTTTTTGCTAACGTTTTTCCAACCAAACATAAAAAATAAATAATAATAATAATAATAAAAGTGTTATTCCATCCCTCATTTCTATTACTTTTCTATGTCCTGTAACTTCTTTTTCCTTTTTTGTTAACTTTTTTCCAACCAAACATTAAAAAAAATAATAATAAAATAATTTTAAAAAGTGCTATTCCATCCATCATTTCTATTATTATTCTTTATACTGTAACTTCTTTTTTCCTTTTTTGTTAACTTTTTTCCAACCAAACATAAAAATAAATAAATAAATAAAATATTATTTCATCCATCATTTATATCATTTGTTTCATCCAATCAAATAAAAAGTGAAGAAAAGATCATACTTCCCTAAAAATGTCTCATCCATCCATTCCCACCCTCTTTCATTCATTTTTTCATCCCAACAAAGCATAAGTTAATTATAACATCATTAACACAATTATTGGAGTGTGTTATAATATATGTGTGTGTATATATACACACACACATATGAACCTATTAAGAAAAGAAAAGAAATGTATATGAACCTATTTAGAAAAGAAAAGAAAAATAACAAAGGAAAAGTTAAATAAATGGACACACACACACATATATAAATTGGTTCCTCATTAAAAAATAATAATAATAAAAGGAGAGACAATGAGTTCAACCGCCATTGACGTTCCATGCAATTTAAAACTATTTTATGGTTTTTTAGCAGTTCATGTACACAAATAATTATGGGTGTTTTAACAATTTACCCATCATAATTGCAACACGAAAAAAAATTAAAAAGATAAAGAAGTAGATATAGAGCACACTTGTGACTGAAATTGGATAATATATATTCTGGACCATTACAAACTTACATATACAGAAAAAAGAATACCATATGATTGATGATGTGCTTCTCTGGAACCTCAAAACTGGCACTCACTCATCTTTTTCTCATTTTTTCCATGAACTCGTACATTGTCAAGAAACCATGAAATTAAATCAAAAATTATGAAAAAAGATATATATTATGAAAAAAAAAAGATATATATTGTAAAAATTATGAAAAAAGATATATATTGTCAAGACAGCGCCACTCATCATGACTCATGAGGCAGCTGTTGTTTCAGCCAACCACTTCCATACTATCACTTCACCCGCTCCATCTCCGGTGAAAAACAAACCCCATGGATCGGACCTCCTGTTTCGCGAATATCTTGCCCCTCTCGGAAAAACTGCATCGAGTAAAAGAAATCTTCATTTAGAATGAACCGCATGAAAGCATTTGAAGGGAAAAAGAAGAAATATCAGTGGAATTCCTACTAAGAAGATGAACTAATGATGACAAGTTGATGGTGTAAAAGCGTTTTGAAGGAAAAATAAAAAGGAATACTGTAAAATAATGAATAAAAGTAAGAACTTACGATGGCAAATCATATACATGGACGGAGTTATTGGTGCAAGAGCACAGCAAGATCGGCTTGGCTTCTACATCATGCATCCCACAGAGAGTGAGCACGCCCTGTAGCAGGCAGGTGGAACCATTAAAATATAGATTTTTTATTTTTGAGAACAGATATAAAGAAAATTAAACAAAACACAAGAAACTGCAAAATATTGGTACAAGGTTTTGACAGAACATAGCAGTCGCAATATGTTGTTAGCAACCTCCATTCGTATGGGACAAAGGCAAGGATATGATGATGACGACTATGTTGGCAACCAATTACATTTAAGGTGCTGGATTTCTGACTCAAAAGATGTCCTATATATTTTATAAAACATGATAGTCTCAAAATTCCCAACCCCATCTGATGGGATACTCTGCCCACCACGTGAAACCTCTACCTACTCTGATAAGTGATGAGTTATATTCAAAAATAGCGTCACAGCACAAATAGCAATGCCCCTGTCAATCCTACCCCATAAGAGTATTACCATTGGGTCTGCAAATGGTTCAAACAGAAATAGATGGAGTACCAACAACCTTTTCCTACCACTACAGGGTGGTATAAGCAACACATACGACACGCCTACTTTCCCAAAGAATTGGGTTTCTTAATGCAACTTGGACCTAATTACTCAAACTCAAACTCAAACTCAAACACTGGCATTTAAAGAGTAAGGTAATTTAGCGGGACTCAGACTGGTTATTTGATACATGTATCAATCTGTCAAAAAATACAGAGACTTCCCCTTCAATTTTAATCAGGTCCCGAGGCTAAACAATATGAGACTATACGTAAGAGCACATAGACCCATGCAAGAATTATTTATTTCCCAGCGCAGTAGTAGGAAACCAGCTTCAAGATCGATAAGTTTCACTTCCAAACAGAAAGCAGCCTCCACCAGCTATAATCACAAGAGACCATTAACCAGAACAAAGATCTAACTCTACATATCACCGATCCTAATCTATCTATTGAGAACAGAATAGCCATACTTTAACATGTGTGCGTCAAGTTAAACATAACCCCTTAATACAACAGCACAACAACGCCTGTAAACAATACAATGTTAAATAGACTCAACATTACTATTTAAATATTTTTTTAACATGCTTGCACCAGTGACTTTAGATGAATCATCCAAAATTGTGCAAGGGCCAAAAACAAATCATCAAGAAGTAGCCTACGATTTCCCAACCTTAGAGATGATCTCTGCTTTTGCTTGATTAATGCACCTACTGGGCCCTTGCCCTTTCCTAAGCAACCCAAAATGTGTAAATACCTGATCAAAGCACACAACATGAGCGTAAATAAAAGATGTGTCTGACATGCCTATTGCGTATGTCCATCCTTTATAATATTATATCAGAAAATGATGGTGAAATTCCAAGTGCACTAAAAGGCTACGTCAAATACTATCGCCCTGCTCTGCTACAAAATAAATGTATTTCACGAGAAAGATGCATATGTTATATAACATAACACTTCTTCCTTACTGTACAGATGAAAATTTAACTACTTCGACAACAAAGCCATTTCCCAATGTCCAAATGTTATAAAACCCCCTAAAATATACATGTTAAAAGACTTGTATATTATAGGGGGTTTTATAACATTTTTAACATTTGGACATTGGGAAACGGCTAAGTTTTCGAAGTAGTTAAATTTTTTATATGTACAGTAAGGAAGAAATGTTATATGAGGAAAACAGCCTAAACAGGTCCTTGCTGCTGGTTTATCCAACGAAAAGAGAGTATCCAAGGAGGTACTTGCTAGTATATGCCAGCACCAAGGTTAGCTGAAGAGAAGAAAAGGAGCCCTTTCGGGTGTTTGATAACTACCTGTAAAAGGGCTTTGTGAGCTGCTCATGGCTCGTGAAAACCCTTCACTTTTTTTTTACAACCCCAGAGCCAATTACAAGCTTTTGAAGAGATTATTTAGTTAAAATATTAGTCACCATAAACTGAATACAAACAAGTCACGAAATTGTCAAAAGATAGGGCAAGACAGCTCAGGAGGACTAGAAAGTTGCCACACAAGCAAACAAGCTTACGAATACTAAATAACTATTAAGGGGACCTTGAGGATACTCCCCTTATACTATACCTTCACCAATACCTAGGGTTGAAGCATATGTAAAAATTAGAAGTAGCTTGGTATTGATAAGCTGCAAAATAAGACACAAGGTAAGGACAAATTTATCTTCTTGAATGCCACATGTAGTTTGGAAGTCAGGAACCCACAATAGTCCATCTTAAAATTTCGATGTTTTAGTGAGGCAAGCACTTGAACACCTAGGTAAAATGTACAATATTTCAGAACCAACCATCCCCTGAATGAGGAATAAAGTAACCCTCATTTATCAAAGTTAATACATTTACAATCAAATCAGATAAGACATTCTGAAAATCTTAGAACACTTGTAAACTTTTTCAAAGTGGATCTTTATTAAGATATCCAAAAAAGGAAAGAAAGACCAGTTCATTTTTTTTTTTTTTTTTTGATAAGTAACACAGACCAATCTTTCAGGACAGGAGTTTATTACAAAAAGTAAAAATTCGCTAATCCTTGAAAGTTGAAACAAACCAGTCAACAAAGGCTCAGTAACATGTCTCTTTAAGTTAAATTGTTAATAAACTACTTTTTATTTTTAATTAATTACAGTGATATCTGATTCCCCAAAATCAACATATAAGTATATAACCACATATCCAAATACACCTGGTGAACTGAAGGTCAAGTTCTCCAGGCTCAAAACCCAATCTCTAAGAGGGAGGAAGGGATTTTGCTTTAGGTTGAGTAGTGAATCTGGGTAAATGCAAGAATATGTGGGCCCAAATAACACTCTGGTTGATATTTAAAACTAGCAAAATCATACTTTTAAAGCATATTTTTGCAATTTTGGGAAAGAAACGCTAAAACCACGAGCTATTGGGCTCCAAAGCCAAACCTAAGAAGAAGGCAACAAAATTATTCGAATTAAAAGTTATC